GCGCAGTTCCTCCTTGTTTACGGTAATCTTTTCGCTTTTATTCTCCATGTTGGCTTTGGATCCGCTGGAATTTGTCGTCTTGCCGTCGTTGCTGTTGTCACCGTTGCCCTGACGTGAATCTGCAATTTAAGTCGACTTTGTATTGTTAAGCTTGCGGTTAACATTTGAGTACTTTTCTTTGCTCTGCTTTGTTTCGCAACAATTGAGCAATTGCTATCAGTTTACCAGAAAATGCATTTAATAGCTAGTAAGTATTGTGTATTCTTAGTAAATAGCACTAATAAATCAACTATCGCAATTTAAAGCTTCCATTTGAATTTTTACACAAAGGTACAAAATCAACTAAATAATAAAATCATGTTGTGTGTCTATGTTGTTCAATCACCCTTACTTTTAGGCTGTCTCTCTTAAATATCGCCCCTCTTTGCGATTTTCATGTTAATGTTTAAAGTTTTTGATTTATTTGTATAAAATAAGCTAACTAACTTCTCTTTTCTTTCTGTTTTCTTCATTTATTTTTAAATACGGATTATTTTTATTCATTTTTTAATTTTTTCCTTTATGTTATGTTCATGTTCATGTTTTGCTTTTTCTTATTTATGACAAGTTTTCTATTGGGAATTAGATATATGTACCTAATTCATTAAGCTGTAAGGTTTTTAATCCCTGCCCAATTTATTCCATAATACTTATTTGTGAAAATCATCATCGTTATTTTAAGTATTCTTTCAGTTTTAACATAACATGATTATTTTATTAGTTGGCCCCAACTTATCAGTAGATTTGCCGACACTTAAGGTGCTCATAAATTATAAAATATGCAAGCTCTTAGCCAACAAACGATTAGAACACGAAGCGGGCTGTTATCAGTAATGACTTGCGTTAAGCAATCGTGAACAAAGTAACATGAAAAACAAAAAAAGAAAATCAGAAATGTAAGAAGCCAAAGCAATCCACGCAATTTGTATATAAAATATGCATTAACAAGGTATAAACAAAATGCCCGCAACCATCGCCACTTTACAAGAAGTGGAAAATGGAAATTGAAGGTGTAAACAGATTTGTTAGGTCTTTGGAAACTGCATAGCTACAAATTGAGCGAAGAAACGCATAGGTTAAAAATAATTTTATACTGCCGCACTTAAATTAAGTGGCGCCCAATATAAACAAAAAGAAAACAAAAACACGAAGCACGAAATAGGGGAAAATTGGGGCCGGTTTTTTTTTTTTGTACATTTGAAAAAAAAAAGCCACTGAAGTGTGTCGCGCACAATAAAAAACGATAAATTCATTTTGAGAAAAAAAAACAAAAAAAAAAAAAACAATTTCGAACCGTTGATCGAATAACATGAATCACTGTGCCGGCTAAAAATAGCATTGAAATTGACAGCAATAAAGTGCGCAAAGTATTAATGCCAACTATTTGAACTAGAAAATTGAACCGTAATGGGAAATTCGCCAATAATTGGGCATAGAAAAATCAATTCAATTGTATTGGGGGTACCTCAAACAACTAAGTCACATTCACTGTGATATTGCGGGCCCATTTTAAAATGGCGAACTTATAAAGCTGCCATTAGCTGTACCCGGGACACGCCCACCCGCCCAATCAGCCCACCCCTCGATCTGTAGTACTCACCAGCAAAGGCACGCACGTATGGAAGTGCAGAGACAGCGATGGCTCCCGTTTTCAATTGAATCAAGTTGCACCTGTACTTGTTAGTAGTAAGTGCGAAATTTCGTGCCCACAGTGCGTGGCGAGAAAGTGAAAACATTTTTCGAGCGCCTCAAATTGACAACGGAGCGTACGTATAACGGCAACGGTGCGACTGCAGTTTGCACTTGGCACTGATGGGTTATTCAATCACATGCGAAAGGAGGCAAGCCAACAACTGCGAAAAGTCAATGTTTTGCCCGTGAGTGTTTCTCTTTGTACGCCCACACACTCAAACTAAACCAAATATATGCAATTTTTCTCACTTCCGTGTTTTATTTTGGCATTCTATTTCTCCGCATCTATGTGTGTGTGTGTGTGCACACAGCCACGGAGAGAAAGCGCATTAGAGAGAAAGCCTCAGTTTGTGCAACGGTTGCTAAAAACAAAAAAATCTAAACACAAAACAATCTGGCCTGTAGAATTTTTTATAATCAAAGCCTCGGTCACACTAATTTTCCAATAAAAATGCCTAATACGCCAGACGCAAGGCAAACTGAAATCAAGCACACACACATGTATACACCTAGTGTCCTTGAAGGGGGCGCTGCGGCTATGCCAGAAAAACGCTCACCTGCAAATATTTAATTTGGTGCTGTTGCTTACAGCGCTATTTTTGGCTTTTGTTTATAATTTTTTTAGCTGTCCCACGCAACGTCTATATTGCGAACAGCAAACACAACTGCAACGTTTTCGCAGCGAAGGAAAATGAAAAACTAAAAAGCTACAAACAGCTGCCTGTGAAAATAAGCAACGTTGCCGGACTGATAGCCTAAGCAGCTGATGTAATGCGTTGCCAACGATAGCATTTTTGATTTAGTTAGTCTGGCAACGTCGTAAACATTTGTTTAGCTGGCTGACTGATAGCTAAAGAGTTGCAAATTAAAATTTGTTTATTATTGGTTAAAAATAAAATGAAGTGGGTGCTTAATTAAGTGCAGAACTTTTTCCCTGATGATAATAAGATACAATGTGAAAAGAGGAATTTCATAAGCTACTAGCACAGATCACACGTAAAGAGGGCGTCAACAAAGGGCAAGAGTTGAAAGAAGAAGAAACTAGAAAACATTCAACGCTTCGCAAATTGTTTATTACTCATTAGTAATAGTTGTGATAACTAAACCAAAACGCTGCCATGAGTAACCACAGATATCATCACGGCGGCGGCAGCTATATGCATCCGCGAATGTCGTATCCACATCATTTTACATATGTTTCCAGCTGTGTAAAATACCTTATCTTTCTTCTAAACTTTTTGTTTTGGCTATTTGGTGGGCTGCTTTTATCTATCGGCGTTTATGCGTTTATGGATAAGCTGAAGGACGGCATTGGTTGGGTTCGGCTAGAAACCGTTTATGATGTGATCTTCAACATATCTTTAGTCATGATCATAGCGGGCATTGTCATCTTTGTGGTCAGCTTTGCTGGTTGCCTGGGCGCACTGCGTGAAAATACGTGCTTGTTAAAGTTCTACTCCATGTGCTTGCTGGTCTTCTTTCTCATGGAAATGGCCATTGGTGAGCGTGAATTTCGAGCAGCAGCAGTTAACATATGACTAATTTTTATTTGCTTTCAGCTATAATCTGCTTTGTGTTCCCACAAAACATGAACTCTTTCCTGGAGTTCCAGTTTACCGATAAGATTATTCACTCGTACCGCGATGATTCCGATTTGCAGAACTTTATAGACTTTGCACAACAGGAGTTCAAGTGCTGTGGTCTGAGCAATGCTGGCTATCAGGATTGGAGTGAGTCGACGTCTAGAATATTCAACAGACCATGGCACATTCATATATCTTTACTCTGCAGGCAAAAATGAATACTTCAACTGTTCATCCCCTTCAGTGGAGAAGTGCGGCGTGCCCTACAGCTGTTGCATCAATGCCACGGACATCAGCTCGGGTCTAGTCAATATTATGTGCGGTTATGGTGTGCAAGAACACTCTGTGGCTGCAGCCAGTAAACGCATATGGACCAGCGGTTGCATTGAAATCGTCCGTGTCTGGGCGGAACGTAATCTGTATGTGATCGCAGGCGTTGCACTGGGCATTGCGTTCCTGCAGCTGTTTGTAATTTACTTGGCCAAGACTTTGGAGGGCCAAATCGAAATGCAGAAGTCGCGCTGGTCGTGAGTGCCATAGCACCCGGTTTTTTACGGGTATCCTTTTGACGAGTTCTACTACTACGACACCCAAATGTAAGCAAACGATGGCGAAGCAGTCGGCAAGGCCGTTCTCTGTCGCTATTTCAACCGCCAACCATGTCTTCGTATAGTTAATCTGGTCCGTGCAATGCTCAAATATATTTCACAATTCTATCTAAAAGTATTAACAATAAGCTATTAGAAGTCAGCAGCTGTTGCTTATGACTTTGCATTTCGAATTCTCTTGCCTTTTGCGAAATTCTTTGTTTCCAAATGTTGTGCAAATGCCTCAACAATATACTATTAATACTAGCCCTTATATCTCATATATGTATACCCATAGTTATAGAAATTATTGTATTTTACCATGAGCATTGTCCATTTAATGCATGTTTCTATTCTAAGTATTTTAAAGGCTTTTTGACCATAGACAAAATTGTAATTGTAATTACAAATAAATTAATTCGATGTATTAAAATTTTAAAATTAAAATTGCAATATCATGATGTTAAAATAAAAGACATTATGTACATGGCTATTAAGAGAGGTGTATGCATTTATATTTGTTATTTAAATTACAATTGAACACAATTTCACATTGCATGCGCATTTATTGAAATACCCAGCACAATTAGATGTAATAGCAATATACCTTATTGTAGTACATCACACGAATATATTCAAAATATCGAACAAATATATATGTATAGATTCTTAAGGTGTATAAGCTAAACATAGCTTCGACAAAGAGCCTGTAGTTATTTTCTATTTCTATATTTTGGCGCAAATCTTAAGGAACATCATAAAACTTTTCCCCATCTTTAAAGATTTTAAACATTAAGTATTTAAAATATTTAAGAAATTCCGAAGAGAGCCAATAACTGACATAAATTTGTAAAATAATATATACTATATTATTGCAAATACATCTATTCAAATTTATATGTATGAATTATTCCTTTTAAACTGATGGATAATGGTCAATTAGTAAGTAATATTGGCCCATGCCTCAACGCTCATTCCAGAAATAATAAGATTACTCGATTTGTGCAAAGGTCAGCAGATAAGCTGTCGTCTTTTCATACGTATACTACTTGCAGCATAGATTACAACCAGTCACGGAGCCAGAGGTTTATTAGTATTATGTGTTTTGTGCACTGGGGTATTCATATTTATTATTTCATACAGTTGCTCGGCATGTACATAATTAAAAAAAAGTATATAAAAATATTTATGTTCACATGTTGGACGTATTAGTACTTAATTATGCTACGAATGCTCTCGCCATTGTGCATTAGATCGAATGCTTCGTTGATTTTGGCCAATGGCATCTCGTGCGTAATGAACTCGTCCACAAGGAGATCCTTTTTTAAGTAGGCGTCCACAAGTTTAGGTACATCCGAAACCGAGCGCCAGCCACCAAAAGCAGATCCCTTCCACACACGGCCTACGACCAATTGGAATGGTCGTGTGGAAATCTCCTGTCCAGCACCAGCCACACCTATAACCACTGATGTGCCCCAGCCCTTGTGAGTGGCCTCGAGAGCAGCGCGCATTGTGTTTACATTGCCAATGCATTCAAAGGTGTAATCAAAGCCACCATCGGTCAAATCAATTAAATAGTTCTGAATTGCGCCCTTGTCAGCGACTTCCTTGGGGTTTACAAAGTCTGTGAAGCCGAAACGCTTGGCCAATTCGAATTTAGAGGGATTGATGTCAATACCATAAATCTTGCTGGCTCCAGCCTTCTTGCAGCCCAGTCCAACGGCCAATCCAACCGCACCCAGCCCCCAAACAGCGCAGGTACTGCCGGGTTCCACCTGTGTGCATCGATAAAGAGCTCATTGCTTGAGGTGAATAATTAATTTAATGCGCCTTACCTTGGCAGTGTTCAGAGCAGCTCCGTAGCCAGTGGAAATTCCACAGCCCAGGAGGCACACCTTGTCCAGGGGCGCAGTCTCATTGACTTTGGTCAGAGAAATATCAGCGACAACGGTGTATTCCGAAAATGTAGAAGTGCCCATGAAATGGAATAGTTGCTTGCCCTTGCACGTGAAGCGCGATGTGCCATCGGGCATAACTCCAGCGCCCTGTGTGATGCGAATTTTCTGGCAGAGATTGGTTTTACCGCTCAAACAGAATTTGCAATCATTGCATTGGGGAATGTACAGCGCGATGACATGATCGCCGGCTTTGAAATTGGTCACGCCCTCACCGACGCTCTCCACAATGCCGGCGCCCTCGTGGCCCAGCACGGAAGGAAACAAACCTTCAGGATCGGCGCCGCTCAACGTAAATGCATCCGTGTGGCACACACCTGTTGCCGTAATCTTTATGCGTACCTACGGAATATTTACACATACCGGATGAAAAACTGTTAAAATTGCATTGTCATTGTTCGGCATACTTCATGGGCCTTTGGGGGTGCCACTTCGATATCTTCAATTACAAGTGGCTTCTTAGCCTCCCAGGCGACAGCAGCTTTGCAGTTGATTACCTAAGTAAAAATGCGCACTTGAGACTATTGTTGTAGTTAATTAATTATTGTACATATACAGACTTTGCCTTCAGTAGCGGACATCTTGTTGCTATCTTAACTATGGAAAATACCCGCAGCGACTGGATCTAGCAAACTCAGAATAGCGAATGATAGAGATGTGCGGAGCCGGCCGCTATTTCCTGTTGCTCAGATGTCTGGTCCTCTCTTTCTTTTTTTCGCCCATTGTGAACGTATTATTTATGGACCATGTGATTACCATAAAAGCAGAAATTTAAATGGTTCCATCCATTACTTAACAAAAATAAAAGCTTCTGCAATTGATTTAGGCGTCTTCTTATAAATTTCTTTCGATTAATCGATACTTTGGCGCCATTTTATTGAGCCCAAAATAAAAGGAACAAAAATAAATATAACCCAGGTTTGGTTTCTTAAATGTTCACCTTCAACATTATTGAAATTTAAGATGTCACATGTTTCATTGGCATTCAACAATGTGTTTTTGTTATATTTTTATTAACATGTGGCAACTTTTGATGGGGAAATAAGAACTTTGAATGAGGTGAATTTCTAAAATACCAAATGCAAAAATACTGTCACATAAAACGGTTTTATTTAAATTCAATTATTTGAATGCTTTTGTGCATATTAGATTATCTATGCGATCAGTATATTAAATGGTTTAATTTTAAATAATGTTGCACTGTCAATTGTTAAAAAATTATTCAAATGCATTGTTTTTAAGTAACAGCTGTTTGATTGCATTTTAAACAAGGTGCTGCGCATGCGTCAATTTGCGGTAAACATTATCCACCCAATCTAAAAGGCGGCAACGTCAAGGAACGCAAAATCAGCACAAGGACAGCGAAATTCTACGAAAAATCAATAATTACATAGCTACCGAGACGGACAGCCGGAAGTGCATATTGTATGCTAGTTAAAACAACTGCAGCACAGAAAAAGCAACTCCCTCTACTGTGGGTGTCTTCGAAAACATGAAGATTTTTGAGTAAAAGAATATTATACAGATATAAAATGGTCGGCAAGGGCGCGATGAGCACGGAAGTGTCAACAAAGGAACGCCCTGTTTTCATACCGCCACGTAAACGACAACAAAACAAAGCCGAGGCCAAAAAGCAAAACTATGTGGATCACATTGTCAATGTGCAGGTAACTAGCATTTAATACAACAATAGATTAGGGCTGTGGATTTTGAAATTTGGTTAACATATTTGTAGCAAAGCCGAGCCAAGCTCTCCCCCTCAAATCCGGGCCTCGAAGAGGAGCTGCTCAAATCGAAATTGATAATCAAAAATAAACAGCCACTGCCACAGCTGCCAGGGGAACCTGGCTGCGCCCAGGACACCATCGCCAGCACCAACTCGGCCAGTTCCACACAGCATAGTAATAAGTCGGCACGTTCGGCCAACAATCTGAATGAGTTGCAGAACTTCGAGTCCATTTCGCAGGGCACCAAGTCAACATCACAGCGCCACGAGAGCAGCACGGTTACGCCCAGCAGCTGCTGCTACTCGGAGAGCAGCCTGGATGCCAAGCTGAGCAAGTCGCAAGACTGCCTCAGTCTGAGCAATCGCTCGTCCTCGAAGAAGCGCGTTAACATACGCACCTCAGACTTGCCACATGCGCGCAGCGGAGGCCGTGCCTCGCCAGACATAGCCAACTATGAGGATCTGGAGTCGGGCGAAACAAGTGTGCTAAATACTTATGATCAGAGCCTGGAGCGTTATCAGGCCCGCAAGACGGTCGATGGCAGCAACTATTTGACCATGACAGGTGCGTCTCAACTATGGCTATGCCATCTGGCACTCCATTTATTGTCTTCCACATTTCGCAGGCACTATTAAAAGAGGTCGCAAGAAGGGTCAGTCGATCGATCTGCAGATAAACATCAGTCGCGAGGAACTGGAACAGCTCAATGCCCACGCCATGGCCAGCGAGTCGCACAAGGGGCACAATCTCTGCTGCACCTGTAGCTGCGGTGTTGGACTTCACATTTTTCTCATCTCGCTGATCTGCTTGCCATTTGTGACGGTCGTCTCGGCCATCTACTCTTTCTACATTGGCACTTTGACCTGGTATAATATGTTTAACTACTATTGTGAGGAGAAGTCCTATGTTCACAAGATATTCGTCACGCCCATACTCTTTCTGGCCTATCCACTTGCAATTGTGCTCTGCACCTTTGGCCTGGGCTTGTACTCTGGCTTTCGGCAGCTGAGTCTGCAGTATAGCAGCTGGGTGAATGACATAACCGATATAGAAAAGGGCTTCTACGGCTGGCTTTGCGGCTTCCTACACATGCCCGACTGCAGCCCCTACGAGGTGGTTATTTTAACCGACATATGCGTTGCGCCACAGGATCCGCAGCGCTTGCACATAAACAAACCCAGGCAGGAGTTGTCCATGTAAGAAAAACAAGCCAGAAAACAACAAAAAAAAAAAGGAGACAACAAAATTTAATTAGCAAAAGCAACGCGAACCGTCGCAGCCAATTAAAGTAGTGCTCGGGTGCAGCCATAAATTAATTTGAATTCCATCTAGTATGGGTTTAGCCCCCCTTCAACTTATCTGGTATTATTTATGATTTTCATATGTGAACAACAATATAATCCCAAGCACTACGGCGCATCATATCGAAATATTTTTGTGACGGTTTCGATTTTCGACCATATGTGTGATAAACCCAATTAGAATCATAAAACAAAACAAATATCTGCCATGAGTACAGCCAGACTAAAGTTTCCTTTTGGCCAAATTTGTTCCTTTCATAGCCTTCATATTGAGTCTAGATATTAGGTTACTCTTCATCTATATACTCAAATAGCCGTTGAATGTTTCAAACTAGCTGATTAATGCAAATTCTTGTTTTTTTTTGATTTTCTCTTCTAATACTTAGCACATGGCCAAATTTTAAAACAACAGTTAAGAACACATTATAAAAATATACTCCAGCGATAACGATTGCATTTAATGATTATGCATTTATATTAGAAAAGAAAAGTGTAACAGCGTAGTGGCTATAAAGGCAAACTTTTTCTTAATTATAAGCAAACTTTTTTTAGCTATAAGTATCAAAAACAGCCAATACTAGAGGCTATATATATATATATATATATATATATATACAAAATATGCGATATAAGCAAATGTTTTTAAATAGAAATTCTACAATTTAAGAGTTATATTTAACAACCGGAAAGCCAGCGGTAAAGATGATATACTTGCCACACACATATTTATTGAATATCTCCCATGAGTCGTGAACGATCTTGGATCTTTAAGTAAAGTTAAGTTTTTTATATAAAAACTAGAATTATTTTAAGTGCAATGATTTGTGTATTTATTGAGTCTGGTTAAGAAATATGTATGTATGTATAAACCAAACAATTTTTTCCTAAGAACAACAATTTAGTTCTCGACTGATCGTTCCTATGACACAGATATATGCTATAGGGAATCGATCTAGCCGATTTTGCAACATCGCAAAAAAAAGCAGATTTATACCAAAACCGAAAGATTGGTATACAATGAAACGGTGTCTTGATCGTGAATATATATACGTACATACTAAATATAAAGGGTCGCTCACATGCTAAATGACAACATTATAATACCCTAAGCGGGAGATTGGAATAGCGCATGCATGCATTTAAATATTACATCTACGAAATTAGTTCGAGAAATAAAGCAAACAAAACTATAATACAAAAGGTTTTGCTATCAATTTTTGTCAATTCTATTTTCTGCAGTTGTGGGTCGAAGCAAAAACATATGTTAACGTTGCGGTTGGGTATAACCGATTGCACAATACTGTTCACAACAGGGCAAACATGTTCGGTGCTTTGTTTGACGACTTGGACAAAATTAGTAAAATTAGTATTCCACAGTCTTGTACTCGGCAATTAAATGTTTGCTTTAGATTCTAATGATCTATCTCTAAATTTGAACTCTACGACAGACAAAATATTATAAGAGAAACGATTTTCCTGCAAAACCCATATACCCTTTTCACCCAACTAAGTTTATCAACATACTCAACTCACATATCTGCATACTTATATGTGCCTTAGTGTATATGCATGGTAGATGGAGGGAGATGGGAATAGAGAAGCCGGCACTTTCCAACACAGACACAAAAGAAATGTAAACAAGCAAAGCAAGTTGCATGCAAAAACAGCTGTTTGCAAGAAGACATTTAAAGGGAAAGGTATTAACCATGTGATTTTCAGTGCATATACTATAAACTATAGATGTTGAGTCCATATACCACAAACAAAATATAAAAGACCCAAATTAATTGATAATAAACATATCTGTACGCATGTATGCTTAGATATACATATACATATTCACATAAATATGCGCATATCTATGTATGAATATTTTCTCGCGTGTAGACACAAATTGTTTATGGAGCGTCGAGCACAACGATATTGAAAGTTTAGTATCAATTTGGCGTTTAGAACGTGCGGACCTTCAGCGCTCTATCAAAAATAAACAATTTAACCGAAAATGGCAAAAGATAACCTAACAGCTGTTTTACATGGCATAAACGACTTGCGATTGGTAAGAAAAAAAACTCAATTATATTGTTAAAATCAATTGACTGTTTAATTTTATATGCAGGAGCAACGTCCTATACCGGAAATATCCGATGAGGGTAAGCCTAAAATCAAATAAGATAAGATATTGAAATCGATTTTCTTGATATATCGTTAATTTTTTACATTTAACATTCATAGAGGTTTTGGTGGCGATGGATAGCGTCGGGATTTGCGGCTCAGATGTGCATTATCTGACAAAGGGTCGCATCGGCCACTTTGTGGTCACGAAGCCCATGGTCATTGGCCATGAAAGTGCTGGCGTGGTTGCCAAAGTGGGCAGCAAAGTTAAGAATCTCGTTGTAGGCGACCGCGTCGCCATTGAGCCAGGCGTGCCCTGCTATAAATGTGATCACTGCAAGCAGGGCAGCTATAATCTGTGCCCTGACATGGCATTCTGTGCCACGCCACCCTACGACGGCAATCTGACCCGGTACTACAAGCATGCTGCGGACTTTTGCTTCAAGCTACCCGACCACGTCACGATGGAGGAAGCTGCCCTCTTGGAACCGCTGTCGGTGGGCGTGCATGCTTGCCGCCGTGCTGGCGTGGGCTTAGGCTCAAAGGTGCTTATCCTGGGCGCAGGACCCATTGGATTGGTTACTCTTCTGGTATGTGAACACCATAAACTGATCATTGTTAAAATGTTGAAAATGTTATTTTTTAAAGGTCGCGCAATCTTTGGGTGCTACGGAGATTTTGATCACGGACCTAGTGCAACAACGTCTGGATGTTGCTAAGGAACTCGGCGCCACACACACGCTGCTGCTGAATCGAGATGATACCGGAGAAGAAGTCGCAAATCGTGTGCGCCAGATAATGAGTGCGGAACCAGATAAGGCTATCGACTGTTGTGGAGCAGAAAGCAGCACTCGGCTCGCGATCTTTGTAATAGCTAAACTGTGAAACGTATTGATAGTTTATTTGATAATATTTCCAAAAATTCGCAGGCTACGCGATCTGGAGGTGTTGTTGTTATCGTGGGTATGGGGCCGCCGGAAATGAAGCTTCCTCTGTTCAATGCCTTGGCTCGCGAGGTGGACATTCGCGGTGTGTTCCGCTACTGTAACGAGTGAGTAGAAAACTTAATAATTTTTCCAGCTATTGGATGACCTATCTTTTTATTTTTAAAGCTATTCCGCTGCCCTGGCGCTGGTTGCCTCCGGTCGGGTGAATGTAAAGCGTCTTGTCACACATCATTTCGACATTACGGAGACCGCGAAGGCATTTGAAACGGCTCGGGCTGGTCTAGACGGGGCCATCAAAGTGATGATTCATGTACAACCGAGAAATACCAATAATCCCGTCGAATTTTAACTATTTGTTAAAGCTATCCTTGTAACATAAATCAAATAATGTGAATGAAATTTTTCTGGACACAACATTAATTAAGTGTAACAAATTTTAAGTTTGAAAGCGTTTCGATTTTTATCTAAATTGAAAGTTGCTCAGCTTAGCAGTATTATCTGTAGATTTGAATGGCCCACAGAAATGTTCGGAGATTATCGTGTAGCCTACACGGCTTTCTACCCAGCAGGTGTGTGGGCTATGGTCCATTGGCTTCAATGAGGCGACATTTGCATAATGAAGAAGCGAGCCTCGATGATCTGATCAAGAAACGTATGCGAAAGCTATTGATGGCAAATGAAGCTTCGGCCAGTTGTTGTATGAACCGAATGCATGACACCAGTAAATCCCTCGCAAGCGCGAATCCAAGAGAAGAAACAATCAATGCTCCACAAGAAAAGACCCAACAGCCGTTTATCTTTAGGTTCCAAAGGTCAACCGTGAGAAACAGCAATTCAACGTTTACAACGAGAGGAATTCTTTCAGTAAAAAAAATATGATATTAGCTAAACTAATCGCCGCTACAGCAAAAATTCGAAGGATAATCTGCCTGCTGTTTTACATGGTAACAAAGGCTTGCGTCTGGCAAGAGAAAACAAGAGCAAGCATTTGTTGTACCTTATGCATTTCCAGTTATGCATGCAGAATCAAGACTGTGGTAAGTTCCTTGATTCCCTTATTTCCTTTACTGATAACATTTGCAGAGGCCTTGTTAGAAATGAACACTTGCGGTATTTGTGGGACAGATCTTCATTGTCCGGAATTCGGTGGCATCGATCACATTAGGGTGAATAAAATCATGACCATTGTCCAGTAATGTTCCGGAGTAGTGGTTGATGTGCAGCACAAGGCTATAAATTCTTAGTGGTCTGCCATTTAACAGGGTAGCACTAACATCCGGCTAACTTGTGCTATAAATTGCCCGATTCTGAGACCATGGAAGAGGGTGCTTCAGGGTCCAAATTCTTGGTGCAGCACCAATTGGATTGGTTACGCTACTGGTGAGTGTAGACTAATAACGGAGCAGTTCGTACATATGAACATTTTTTTTCATGGCTCAATATTTTAATTACGGATCTAGGGCAACGACTTCAGGATGTGGCTAAGGCAGTTGAAGACTAAACGTGGTGCTAAGCGCCAAGAAGTCACAGCGGTTGCCGTGTTATATTATGGCCGTGGAGCCTGACAACTCAATTGACTGCATCGGAATAGAGAGCTGCACCTGCACCTGGAGGCTGACTTGAGCATTGATTTATAATTTTGCTAATACCCTAAAACTTTGTTAAACCTGGCAATGGAGCCTGGTGGTGTCGTTGTCATCGTTGTTTGCTCCCGCTCTAACGCACATCGACGTAATGTAAAGCGCCTTGTCACGCATCTATGTGAGGCTGTAGAGGGGTTTGAAAGATCCCTTGATGCGCTAGACGCTGCAATTAAAGTTATGGTTAATTGCGATACGGGGACACCAACAATTTCTGTCTATTTCAGCCAAATATCTTCTATTCAGTTCGAATAAAATTTTAAGAGCCGATCTTTATTTAAAAGCAGTCCTTTGAAATCTATTATTAAGTCACAGTACACTTATCTTGTGTTTCGGATGAACGCTAGTTTTGTATGTTAAGAAAATTGTTAATGGTCCTGATTCTAGCCTAGTAAATATTTCCGGCTTTGGCGAATTAAGAAGCTAAGCAAAACAAAATTTATATATATATACATATATTTATATATATATAGCTCGCTGTTTTCGGGGGCGATAAGAAATGAGAATGCATATACAAGTTACATGTACGAATAACTAAAAACAAATCTTCCTTTAATAGCCAGCAGTCTTAGTCCAATCTTTCAAGAAATTTCAGAGCTTAAATATGAAACACACAAAAGTGCTAGTGAGTTTTGTGATGAGATATCCAAAAGTAGTATATTGTTTATTAATTATATAGTATAATAGTTTGGTGATCTCTTACAATTTTTGAATTTTCAATTTTCAATTTTCAAAACTCATTTGTTGGCAATAAATTAGTAAAACTGACAATGAATGTTTGGACATGAGTCTAGAAATTTGCAATCGTTGGCATCTTAAGCTGGTGACAGACCGTGATTTTCTCAACATTTCGACATTATGGAGACCGCAAAGAACTTCAAAATAACCTGGGAATAATCCTATCAAATGTTTGCTATAGATTAAACCTTGTGTAATAAACATGTTTTATCATGCACTTAAATTTGTGCAACGTAATTCAAGCATTATTTTTACCTATTCACTGATAATAAATTGTTAATGTGCGGATTATTATAGTCGCCTATGGAATTGCTGAGCACATTTTATACATGGTAGAAAAGTCAGCTGATTCGTAAAGGCCCATTACAATATAATTAATAAAGCTTTCGTAATAATTCACTTGTATTTTTTTTATTTATATTAACATCAGCGACATATGTGTATATATACATAAGTATTTTATTACATAAGGCGTAAAATATTATAATTTGATCATGAAGATAAGACAAATAGAAGGAGACACTTCCGAACCCATCAGTCGAAAATTAAATTCTCCTATGATTAATCATTTGACTTTCAATTCGCATTGCCATTCTTTTTTTATTGTCTTTTATAAGTTTTCTAGAAAAGTATCTCGTTCAACTGTAAAGCCAATACAGATAAAATATTGCTTAAAAATACTTATATTTCTATCTTATAGCTGTTTTAAATCAGATTTTCTTTAAATATGCTAGACTTAGCTGTAAGATGGCTAAAACGGCAGCACTGACAAGAATGCGGCGCTTGGCTCAACTAAAAATGTTGTCTCTATCTTTAATAATGTTAACGCATGCAGTATAAATTAAATGAGAAGAAGGGTTATCTTCGGCGCGCCGAATATTTAATACCCTTGCAGACCCAACCTTTTCATAATGCTCATAGTGCTTTGCCCATATCTAAGAAGCACAGGGAAAATAGTTAATGTCGGGTATGCTATAAGATATCTTGAAAAACAAAATATTATTCTTACACCTTTATTTTACTCCGTTTGTTCCCATGGATGCTATATGATATAGAAATCCGATGTAAATAAGATTTTGCTTAAATATAGGTAGCATAGTCAGACCAATAAATGTTGAGTTTGGTCAAGATATCTAGAAAATCAAAAAAGTTTTCCACACAACAACTTTATTTTCGACCAATCGTTCCTATGGCAGCTATGTGATTTGGTGGTCCGATGTTGTAATGATTTTGCACATATACGAGGAGCATAGTAAAAATAATAAATGTCGAGTTTGGTCATGATATCCAGATAAACAAAAAAGTTGTTCATACAAGAGCCGATCGTTCCTATGAAAGCTATATGATATAGTGGTCCGATCCAGCTGGTTTTAACATATGTGCTGCGTGCAACAGAAAGAGGGACTTTTGCAAAGTTTCATGAAACAGACAGACGGATGGACAGATATGGCAATATCGAATCGGCTGTTGATACTGATCAAAAATATATATTTTTTATGATGTCGGAGATGTCTCCTTCTATGCGTTACACATTTCACGACAAAATTATAATACCCGCTGCAAGGGTATAGAAACAAGGTGTGAAAAACTTGTAATCTCCCCCATACACCTTTTCACTTGCACTAACGCAAGGTCAAACAAACATGTCAACACAAATGCTGGGAAGTGCAAGCAAATTACAAGCTTACAACAATAAAAATAAAATTATATAAAATTCGAAGCAAATTGCTGATAAACTCGACGAGCTGCGATAGTGGAAAACGTTGAATTAGTATCAAATCGACGTTCAAATCGAGCGGTCTTCTTTCCGTAAACACATTCGATTATATTACAAGGATTATCAAAATGACAAAGGATAACCTGACAGCAGTTTTGCATGGCATTGAGGATATGCGTTTGGTATGGCAATCGGACAAGCAAACAGAAATAAAAAATAATTTCGTTTATATAACTCTCTAATTCCATGCGCAGGAGCAACGTCCAATACCGGATATTTCCGCAGATGGCATGTTCAGCTCATCATAATATAAAATGAATATTGTTACATTTAAAATTCTAATCCGCAGAGGTTTTGGTGGCGATGGATAGCGTCGGTATTTGCGGCTCAGATGTGCATTATCTGACAAAGGGTCGCATTGGCCACTTTGTGGTCACGAAGCCCATGGTCATTGGCCATGAAAGTGCTGGCGTGGTTGCCAAAGTGGGCAGCAAAGTTAAGAATCTCGTTGTAGGCGACCGCGTCGCCATTGAGCCAGGCGTGCCCTGCTATAAATGTGATCACTGCAAGCAGGGCAGCTATAATCTGTGCCCTGACATGGCATTCTGTGCCACGCCACCCTACGACGGCAATCTGACCCGGTACTACAAGCATGCTGCGGACTTTTGCTTCAAGCTACCCGACCACGTCACGATGGAGGAAGGTGCTTTGCTAGAACCGTTGTCGGTGGGCGTGCATGCCTGTAACCGAGCTGGCGTGGGCTTAGGCTCTAAGGTGCTCATCCTGGGCGCAGGGCCAATTGGATTGGTTACGCTATTGGTAAGTTGATTGCCTGAAACTAATTTAAGCCGGCCATATATTATTTCAAGTGTTCAAGGTCGCACAATCTATGGGTGCTACAAAGATTTTAATTACGGACTTGGTGCAACAACGTCTGGATATCGCCAAGGAACTGGGCGCCACTCATACTCTGCTGATGAAACCTGGCGACACCGCTGAAAATGTCGCGGATCGTGTGCGACAAGTAATGGGTGATGAGCCTGATAAGTCAATTGACTGCTGTGGAGCAGAGAGCACCACACGCCTTGCAATCTTTGTAAGAGCTTTGCTGATAGGCCCTGATATTTTTATAAATGATCACAACCTTTGTTACGTCAGGCTACACGATCTGGAGGTGTTGTTGTTATCGTGGGAATGGGTCCGTCAGAAATGAAGCTTCCTCTGTTCAATTCCTTGGCTCGAGAGGTGGACATTCGCGGTGTGTTCCGCTACTGTAACGAGTGAGTAGAAAACTTAATAATTTTTCCAGCTATTGGATGACCTATATATTTTTTTAAAGCTATTCCGCTGCCCTGGCACTGGTTGCCTCCGGTCGGGTGAATGTAAAGCGTCTTGTCACACATCACTTCAACATTACGGAGACCGCGAAGGCATTTGAAACAGCTCGTCTTGGCACAGGCGGGGCCATTAAAGTTATGATTCATGTACAACCAAGGAATATCAATAATCCTGTCAAATTTTAGGTATACAGTATAGTAAGCCCTGCATCATAGTTCAGAAAAATGTAATACCTGGTGCTTTACGGAACAATAAATTTGTTAGCTTGGTACAAAATTTAAGTTATATTCTTAGAGTTTCAAAATTTTAACACGATTTTTATTCGCTTAGCTTCAGTGGTTTACCTTTACACTTTCAAAAAATACACGAAATGTCCAATTTACTGTATTGGCGGTGTTCACGATCCCTATACACGTATTTGTCCATCAGGTACGCTGGCCACCGCCCATTGGCTCCGATGATCCGACACTTTCATGATGATGACTCTGGGCACAAAGACACCAAGAAGAATATGCGACCGCGAGTAGCGAACAAGGATGAAAAAATTTCCACTGACCTTAAACTCGTAGATTCTAAGTCCAAACAGAAGATAGCTACGGGAACTGCACCCAAGCTATCCATTGAACAGGAAATGAAGGCACTGGGCCACGTTGTTGGCAGCAAGCAGAATATTAAAGATACAATCAGTCTTAAGAGCCACATTCACGCAAATACAACGCCTAAATCGACAGACGCTAAGAGTTCATCGAAATCTAGCCAAACGGTTGGAGATCAATCTAAAGACACATCTGTTAAGTGTGGGTCGAATGCGAGTGCCGTGGAAAGCAGGGTTAGGGCATTTGTTGATTCAATTGAAAGTAAGAAAGCTTCAAATCGAAAACCTGTTCGGAGCCAGACAGATGAAGGGGCCTTAAGGACTACTGAAAAGCAAGATAAATCCTCAAGTCCCGTAACAACCACCGCCAATATAAACGCTGTGACTAAGCTAACAGATAAATGCTCTCAAGCTTCGCAGACCGAATCGCAAAAAGTTTCAAGCATAGAGGGTGGTAAAACAGATTTAAAAACTTGGTCCTCATCCCAGTCAGGAGTCGGTAACACCAATCTTTTTGACGGGAAACCAGAACCGTCTCAAACGAAGATGTCGCAAAAACGTTCCGAATCTGCAAGGAATCTAGCAGATAAAAACATGGGCTTTAAAAGTGACCCCCAAATTCCATGGGAGGGAATGTTTGGAGAGCTTTTTAAGACTAGTGCTAAGGGGTCTGTCGAAGGAGGAACGAATGGAATTGGTTCTAAGGAAGGAAGGTCTCAGTCGTTGCTCGTGGTTAGCTCTAAACAAAATAGTAAAGATCAACATAATAAAAACCACAAGTTATCTCAAGTGGAAGCGAAACCAGAGACTGCGCAAACTAAAATCCAATCTGCAGGAGATAGAAATATCCAGCAAAGTATTAGCAAGACCAAACCAGAGCCAGATCAATCTCTAACTAAGGGTGCAAGGAGCAATAGCCTAGGCAGTGTAGTACAAAATCCACCCAAAATGGAAGCTCCGAGTACCGAAATCAAAAACAAAACGATACTAAATCCATGGAAAACGGAAACCTCCAGCAGCAATAGCATGGACAAAGCGAAATCAAATCAAGCCCAAACAAAAGACCCGAGATGCAATAACGCCAGCAAAACGGGACCTGAATTAGCTGTGGAAGGCAACTCGGCATTAAAATCTGCGGTTCTTCAAAAGGAAAAATCAAATACCTCCTTCAAATTTGAGCACAAGATTTCTAAGCCCGTTCAGAGTCAGACAGAAATCAAAACTGCAGTAATTAAAGATGACGAAGCATTAAAGGACGTACTTAAGGGCTCGAATAAGCACGACGAATGGGTTGCTAAGATTCTTTCCCCTCCAAATAAAGGTTATGAATCCTCAAAGATCAAATCGAATACCGCCTATAAAATTGAGGATGGGTTTTCTAAAGCTATGCCCCATCAGAATAAGTCGGACAACAAATTTGCACCGAGCAGAACGGATGAAGCTTCAAAGGACAAATCCAAAATCCAGTCAGAAATCAAATCCACAGCAACTGAATCTGAGAAGGGCTCAAAAGATAAATATAGCAGTATATTTAAAGCCGATGATGGATTTTCCAAAGCTACACCATATCAGAAGCAGCCCGACAACAAATCTGCACTAAACAAGCCAAGCTCCAAATTTGACGAATCAAAAAATAAATCAAATTCCATCTACAATGTTAAGAGCTGGAATTCTGAAGTTAAACAATCACAGAACCAGTTGATCAAGAAATCCGGTGCAATGAAACCTGATGAGGCCTCAAAAGACACGCCTAAGAGCTTTAACAAAGATGGAGAAAGGTTTCACAAATTGAAACCCTCTCAGAGTCAGTCCGACAATAAGCCCTCGGCAGACAAATTGGATAAGACCCCGAAGAACAAATCAAATAGCATTTATAAAGTCACAGATTTGTCTTCTGAAGCCCTGCCAAACCAGTCAACCAACAAACATGGAGCTAACAAAGTGGATGAGGCTTCCAATAAGGACCTCTCTACCCCTAAAGAAACCAGTAACAATTTGCTGGAGTCGTTCAGTGCCGTAAGATCTGCGTCCATTTCCGATAGAAAATTCTCGGGTGATACAATCAAGGCTGAAAAAATTGAGTTGCTCTCGGCGGATACTGTGGAGGAAACAGCCTTCAAGACTCGATCAAAGTCGGCTTATACTCAGGATGGCATCAACTCAGATTTAAAATATCGGTCTAGTACCGAAAAACCCAATTCCTATGACAGGAAAGCAGAAATTCAGCAATCTGCAAGGCCGCAGTATGGTCTGAAATATGCGCAGAAAACAAAGTCAACTGCGTTTAGCTCTAGTCAAAAATCGAATAGGGGCACGATTGGTTCGCTTTTGCAAGCTGTTCGCCAGATTCCATTGAAGCAAGAAAAGGCAGCCAAAGGCCATAAAGAACAGGTCGTAAATATACTAAAGGAAAAGATCAAGGAAGAGAAAAAAAAAGCGGAGTTCCTTGAAAATGTAGCTGACGAGCTGCGATCTAGACGTGAGGTCGACACCACCCCAGTGAAAGAAAATAAAATGAGTCCAATGAAAAGTGGGGATGCGCCTTCTACAGCTCGCACTGAAACAACAAGCGGTGCCAACTCAATGGATAAGTCTTGTTCTGATCGGGAACTTACTGCAACCATTGCAGCAGCAATCGTTAAGGGTATATCAGAGAGTTCTGCAACCTCTAAGGAGAGTGATACAATTGCAGGTAAAGGTATGCCAATAGTATCGCTTCAAGACCTGAAGGCTTCTGGACATCGTGATTGTCATTTAACGTCCGCATCGATGGGTAATTCTAATGCAGGCAAAACTTTGACATCTTATGGCAAAACAGAGCTCATTGGCACTGATGAGAGCCGGATTGGTGGCAAGCGTGTGATGAATGCAGAACCCGATTCAAAGAAAATGGATAAGAAATTCCGCACCGATCTAACTGTAGATAAAGGTAGCGATAATAAAATTTCTAAGGACATCACTTGCAATGTGAGAGACAAATCGACTGAAAAGACACATAAAATCAAGGCTGAAGATATAACACCTGGTGTCCTTTACAATTCGACAACAGAGGGTGAGAATCGCGACTTCTCAACAAATATAAATATTGAAGACGATGATGAAACGTTAAGATTTAAGGCCGAACAATTTTTAAGAGAAAGTGAAGCTCGACAGATTCTAGAGAAAACTAAACATATAAATATCGAAAAACTAGGTGTCGATAAGCTAAATGTCCATAAGCTAGATGTCGATAAGCTAGATGTTAATAAGCGAGATGTCGCTCAACTAGATGCTGCTAAACTAGATGCCGATAAGCGAGATTTCGCTAAACTAGATGTCGCTAAACCAGATGTCGCTAAATTAGATGTCGATAAACTAGATGTCGATGAACTTGATGTCTCTGCACAGCAAAAACCAAAGCCAAAGTTGACGATCTCCCAATATCTCTATGAAATGTTTATGGGCAAACGGAAAAACAATAATGAAAGTGGTCGCAGGAACATCACCACCTACTCCGCGGTTAATAATCGAAACTCAAGGCTAGATAATCATACTGGAAGTAAGAGTAAAAAATCTTTTACACCATATGCTAGTAAAAAGGCAGTAGAAACTTTTATTTCGCCGGATCTGGCAAAACGACAGCTAGGTAAAGAAGAAATACTTAAAGAGCGAAGAACTAAATCCCAAGAAAATAGACATGGTGAGAATGACAGGGAATCACGTCACCGTTTCCATGATCAATTTGAAGTGTCCTGTTCAAAGCAGCTGCTCCTGCCTGGCATATCATCGCACCAAAAACTGACACTGACTCCTGATAGTGATATTTTACGTGTGCAAAAAACAGAATCAGAGGAGAATTTGGTTAATTTTACTGATGACATCAATAGCACAAAAATTCTTGGTGGCACTCCGTACAAATGCGAGGACAAAAGCCTACGAGCAAAGCTTAAAAATAAGAAGGATAAAAGCGAAATAGTGATTAAAGGTGGATCCAAAAAGTGCTTGGAGAAAGTGAAGGATGTAAAGGAAATCGAAGACGACGAGGAATGTGGCAAGCGAAGTTTCGGCGCGTTGGGTCGGCAATTATTCCAAAACTTGCGTAAGTATTTACATATAACGTCATAAACGGGAACTGATAGTTGTTAGCGCCACCTGGTGGTTCGCAGCGAAAGCCTGTAAACAACTCTGATCAACAATCTTTATTGGCGCCACCTGGTAGTCCGCAGCAAAATCATTAAACAAATCAGATTTTGCCCGTCATATAAAAGGATATATAATATATATATAAACAGATTAGCAGTTTAAAAACCGACTTATTAGGCATTCAATGTCACACCGAGGAAAATGACAGCAATCAGATGTATATTATACAGTTGTTGTGTAGTTGATAATACGCTATAAATAAGCCTAGTGCATAGACCATTAGGTTATTTGTAAGTCAATAACAAATTACTAACTTGTTTGCACACAGTAATATATATTTCCAGAATCGAAAAGAAACACTAAGCCGGCGACAACGAATTTAAAAACGCTCAACAATTGGAATCAGGCCTGGAAGAGTTCAATCCGCTAAGCAACATAAAACATTTTGAGACAAATTTCACGTTTATCAAATTTTAGATATTTGTGAAGAATAATAAAAAGTTAAAAGTTGGAACAATTTTATTTCGCCTCAAAGTACATTCTCTCGATTAGCCAATTGGGGGCATAGTGTTCATCTGACACATTACTCACTGCTAATTGTGCAGATAACACAATCTTGCTACTGAGAATTCGATGCGCTAAGGTCGTGACCGCATAACGTTGAAAATCTGAGTTTAGATTGCTTTAACAATTATTTAAATATAGAAAACCATATGGTACAAATGAACATTTTAGTTTCTAAATTATAGTTTATTATAGTTTAAAATCACTATCAGTGTAATCATTATTATTGAGAGGCTTTGGGACTTTTTAAAATATAAATCAAGTCTTGAGAGTGAAAAATTAAAAGTTCCAAAAGTAGGCAACCCCCCTCTTCAATTGGAATAAGCTGGCTTTTAAAGAAGTTTATAGCCAAAGTCAATACTCTTGAACCTTATCGATCGGAAGTACAATTCGGATTCAGCACTTGTCCAGTTAAGACGTATTTGATAATAGAACCAACCCGGAAAGTGTCCAAAAAGAGTTTATACCCTATATATTAGCGTCTGCAAAGAGCGCAAAATGTGGAAACGAGAAATGAAAATGTATCCATGTAATCATAATGAAAGACTTGCATCAATAATAAAAACCGCGTTTCGCAACACTATCTTACCGACTTTCATTCAGAGCTGCTCTTGATCAACGGTTTCTAATTGGAGTAAATCGCTCATAGAGATAAGAGTCTAGTGATTAATCCTATTGGGGGAATTGGAATACATAGGTATTAGATGAATGCTCCCTAATGGAGTCTTTACGATTCCTAAGGAATAAACAATTTGCTTAAAGAAATAGTATAGGCCGTAAATTTTACCTTTGGGAAAATTTGGAGTAATATATGTTAACGTCAGTTTTTCGATACAATTTTGAACACATACGGCAAGCTGGGCAAGGTTTGTCAATTAAAAATTAACATCCAAAAGATGTTGATCTGTAGTGCAAACTACATTTTCGGTTTGAATATTTTCTGGGCCAGACCTAAAAATTTTTCGTAATAAAACAAATTAGTTTGTATAAAATTTATAGCACGGCGTTAATATGTTTACACGAAGTGCGTGCATTAGGGCCTGCAATTCATGCATGCAGCCCGTGATCACGTTGAACTTTAGCTCCTTACTATATAAAGGCCTGGCGCAGACGATTGAAAACTGGCAAATTAAAACACGTAATATGTCTATAGGTCAGAATAACGACAGGAAAAAAAAACCCTGTAAGTAATTCAATAAATTGTCTAATGAATTAAAGCTTATTCGGATGCTAACACAGACGCACATTCAGCGAAAATGAAAGTCAGCATTCGCCGACACAATAAGATATCGTCAGACGAGAATCGGTTAAGTTCTAATCAGAAAAATAAGCTGAAAACGCAATGCAAGATATTGGCTAGGAAATTTAAGCTTGCTTGCCAGCGCTTGGTGGTCGAAGAGTTTGGCGCCGAGAATTTAAAAGAGGACGATAAAAAGAAAATTTCGACAACATGCCAGGAATTAGCCGAACAAGAAAAGTGTCAACTGCTGGAAGAGCTCGAGAATCTGAGAGCTCAATGCGAAACTTTGGGCAAACAGGAGCATCCTAACAAATTGGCCGAGCTAGAAAAACTAAACAATGAAGCGACCGCTCTCGGTGAGCTATGCACAGAATTATATCAGCAGCAGGAGAGCTATAAATTGGCGGACGAAGAACTTAAGAAAGAGGAAAGCGAGCAGCTTCAAGAACCTACGAAAAAAAAAACACGAAAGATGGATAAAGCGGGGATGTTAGAAAAACACAAAAAGCAAAAGCAGAAGCTTAAAAAACTATCCAAGGAATTGGCCCAGAAAGAAATATGTGCTAAGCTGGAAAAACAAACGCAGGAATCCAAAAAATCGGCCGAAGAGGCAAAAGCTAAGTCTGAGAAAAGCAAAAGTAATTCAAAGCAGAAAAGCAATGAAAAACCTAATAAAAAAGAGCAGCTTGATGAACAGAGTAAGAATATGGCCCAGAAAAACGAAAAGAAGGGAAAGCAAGGCCAGGGGCAGGCCGAAAAGGAAAACTGCGAGGAATCGGCCAAGTTAAACAAATTGAGGATGGAGAAGGAGCAGTTCGAAAGGCAGTGTAAGATATTGGAAAAGCTGGAAGAGCTGAAGAAACAGTGCAGAATAATGGCTGAAAAAGCTAAATGTAACTCCAAAAATGAGAAAGCTGGTGAAGACGCAGAAAATTCTGAGAAGCAAGGCACGGCTGTCGGAGAAGTGAAGAAATGCAAAGAATTGGACCAAAAAGAACAGCAAGAACAAGAGAAGGAAAAAGGTCAGGCGAAAAAATGCAAAGAAATGGCTGAAAAAGAAAAATGCGCTCAGTTAGCTAAGCTTGAAAAAGAAAAGAAAGAAAAAGAAGCTCAGGCGAATAAATGCAAGGAAATGGCTGAAAAGGAAAAATGCTCTAAATTATCCAAGCAAGAAAAAGAGAAGAAAGAAAAAGAGGGTCAGGCGAAGAAATGCAAGGAAATGGCTGAAAAAGAAAAATGCGCTAAATTAGCTAAGCAAGAAAAAGAAAAAGAAAAGGAAGCTCAGGCGAAAAAATGCAAAGAAATGGCCGAAAAGGAAAAATGCGCTAAATTAGCTAAGCTTGAAAAAGAAAAGAAAGAAAAAGAAGCTCAGGCGAATAAATGCAAGGAAATGGCTGAAAAGGAAAAATGCTCTAAATTATCCAAGCAAGAAAAAGAGAAGAAAGAAAAAGAGGGTCAGGCGAAGAAATGCAAGGAAATGGCTGAAAAAGAAAAATGCTCTAAATTAGCTAAGCAAGAAAAAGAAAAAGAAAAGGAAGCTCAGGCGAAAAAATGCAAAGAAATGGCCGAAAAGGAAAAATGCGCTAAATTAGCTAAGCTTGAAAAAGAAAAGAAAGAAAAGGAAGCTCAGGCGAATAAATGCAAGGAAATGGCTGAAAAGGAAAAATGCTCTAAATTATCCAAGCAAGAAAAAGAGAAGAAAGAAAAAGAGGGTCAGGCGAAGAAATGCAAGGAAATGGCTGAAAAAGAAAAATGCGCTAAATTAGCTAAGCAAGAAAAAGAAAAGGAAGCTCAGGCGAAAAAATGCAAAGAAATGGCCGAAAAGGAAAAATGCGCTAAATTAGCTAAGCTTGAAAAAGAAAAGAAAGAAAAGGAAGCTCAGGCGAATAAATGCAAGGAAATGGCTGAAAAGGAAAAATGCTCTAAATTATCCAAGCAAGAAAAAGAGAAGAAAGAAAAAGAGGGTCAGGCGAAGAAATGCAAGGAAATGGCTGAAAAAGAAAAATGCGCTAAATTAGCTAAGCAAGAAAAAGAAAAAGGGCAGGCGAATAAGTGCAAGGAAATGGCCCAAAAAGAACAATGTGAGAAGTTAGCTGAGCTTGAAAAAGAAAAGAAAGAAAATGAGGAGTTTAAAATGCAATGTCAGATATTGGAAAAGCTAGAAGAACTGAAGATGCAGTGCAAAAAATTGGCTGAGAAGTCGAAAAAAAAGCCAACGAATAACAAAAGTTGTTTAAGTCCAGAGGATCTTAGAAAGCGATGCATGGAAATTTCTCTAAAATTAGAGTGCGAGAAATTAAATAAGCAAGAAATGGAAAACAAGGAAAACGGAGGCCAGGATAAGCAGTGCAAGGAACTGGCCCAAAAAGAAAAATGCGGTAAGTTAGCTAAGCTCGAAAAAGAAAAAAAAGAAAAGGAAGCTCAGGCGAAAAAATGCAAGGAAATAGCCGAAAAAGAAAAATGCGCTAAATTAGCTAACCAAGAAAAAGAAAAAGAAAAGGAAGCTCAGGCGAATAAATGCAAAGAAATGGCTGAAAAGGAAAAATGCGCTAAATTAGCTAAGCTTGAAAAAGAAAAGAAAGAAAAGGAAGCTCAGGCGAATAAATGCAAAGAAATGGCTGAAAAGGAAAAATGCGCTAAATTAGCTAACCAAGAAAAGGAAAAAGAAAAGGAAGCTCAGGCGAGTAAATGCAAGGAAATGGCAGAAAAAGAAAAATGCGCCAAATTAGCTGAGCAAGAAAGAGAAAAGAAAGAAAAAGAAGAGCTTGATAAGATGTGCAAAGATTTTGCTCAAGAGGAACAGTGCGATGATAAAAAACAAAGCGTGATACTAACAAAACTTGAAGAACTGAAAGAACATTGCAAGAAAATTTCTAATAAAGCTACGCCTAAAACCGAGGCAAGTAGTGTCGATCAAAGTCTATGCAAGGAAATGGCCGAAAAAGAAAAATGCGCTAAATTAGCTAAGCTTGAAAAAGAAAAGAAAGAAAAGGAAGCTCAGGCGAATAAATGCAAGAAAATGGCCGAAAGAGAAAAATGCGCTAAGTTAGCCAAGTTTGAAAAAGAAAAGAAAGAAAAAGAAGCTCAGGCGAATAAATGCAAAGAAATGGCTGAAAAGGAAAAATGCGCCAAATTAGCTAACCAAGAAAAAGAAAAAGAAAAGGAAGCTCAGGCGAATAAATGCAAAGAAATGGCTGAAAAAGAAAAATGCGACAAATTAGCTGAGCATGAAAAAGAAATGAAAGAAATCGAAGAACTCTTTAAACAATGCAAGAAACTAGCTGAAAAAGAACAGTGCGCTAAAAACGAAACAGAGAATGAAAAGGGAGGCCAGGCGAATAAATGCAAGGAAATGGCTGAAAAGGAAAAATGCGCTAAATTAGCTAACCAAGAAAAAGAAAAAGAAAAGGAAGCTCAGGCGAATAAGTGCAAAGAAATGGCTGAAAAGGAAAAATGCGCTAAATTAGCAAACCAAGAAAAAGAAAAAGAAAAGGAAGCTCAGGCGAATAAATGCAAAGAAATGGCTGAAAAGGAAAAATGCGCTAAATTAGCTAAGCTTGAAAATGAAAAGAAAGAAAAAGAAGCTCAGGCGAATAAATGCAAGGAAATGGCTGAAAAGGAAAAATGCGCTAAATTAGCAAACCAAGAAAAAGAAAAAGAAAAGGAAGCTCAGGCGAGTAAATGCAAAGAAATGGCTGAAAAGGAAAAATGCGCCAAATTAGCTAACCAAGAAAAAGAAAAAGAAAAGGAAGCTCAGGCGAATAAATGCAAAGAAATGGCTGAAAAGGAAAAATGCGCTAAATTAGCAAACCATGAAAAAGAAAAAGAAAAGGAAGCTCAGGCGAATAAATGCAAAGAAATGGCTGAAAAGGAAAAATGCGCTAAATTAGCTAACCAAGAAGAAGAAATAGAAGCTCAGGCGAATAAATGCAAAGAAATGGCTGAAAAAGAAAAATGCGCCAAATTAGGTAACCAAGAAAAAGAAAAAGAAAAGGAAGCTCAGGCGAATAAATGCAAAGAAATGGCTGAAAAGGAAAAATGCGCTAAATTAGCAAACCAAGAAAAAGAAAAAGAAAAGGAAGCTCAGGCGAATAAATGCAAAAAAATGGCTGAAAAGGAAAAATGCGCTAAATTAGCTAACCAAGAAAAAGAAGAAGCTCAGGCGAATAAATGCAAAGAAATGGCTGAAAAGGAAAAATGCGCCAAATTAGCTAACCAAGAAAAAGAAAAAGAAAAGGAAGCTCAGGCGAATAAATGCAAAGAAATGGCTGAAAAGGAAAAATGCGCTAAATTAGCTAACCAAGAAAAAGAAAAAGAAAAGGAAGCTCAGGCGAATAAGTGCAAAGAAATGGCTGAAAAGGAAAAATGCGCTAAATTAGCAAACCAAGAAAAAGAAAAAGAAAAGGAAGCTCAGGCGAATAAATGCAAAGAAATGGCTGAAAAAGAAAAATGCGGTAAGTTAGCTAAGCTTGAAAAAGAAAAGAAAGAAAAAGAAGCTCAGGCGAATAAATGCAAGGAAATGGCTGAAAAAGAAAAATGCGCCAAATTAGCTAACCAAGAAAAAGAAAAAGAAAAGGAAGCTCAGGCGAATAAATGCAAAGAAATGGCCGAAAAAGAAAAATGCGCCAAATTAGCTAACCAAGAAAAAGAAAAAGAAAAGGAAGCTCAGGCGAATAAATGCAAAGAAATGGCCGAAAAAGAAAAATGCGCCAAATTAGCTAACCAAGAAAAAGAAAAAGAAAAGGAAGCTCAGGCGAGTAAATGCAAGGAAATGGCTGAAAAGGAAAAATGCGCTAAATTAGCTAACCAAGAAAAAGAAAAAGAAAAGGAAGCTCAGGCGAATAAGTGCAAAGAAATGGCTGAAAAGGAAAAATGCGCTAAATTAGCAAACCAAGAAAAAGAAAAAGAAAAGGAAGCTCAGGCGAATAAATGCAAGGAAATGGCCGAAAAAGAAAAATGCGCCAAATTAGCTAACCAAGAAAAAGAAAAGAAAGAAAAGGAAGCTCAGGCGAATAAATGCAAGGAAATGGCCGAAAAAGAAAAATGCGCTAAGTTAGCTAAGCTTGAAAAAGAAAAGAAAGAAAAGGAAGCTCAGGCGAAAAAATGCAAGGAAATGGGCCAAAAAGAAAAGTGTGATAAATTGGCTAAGAAAGACGAGCAAGAAAAACAGAAGGGGGTTAAGAAGCAATGCAAAGAAAATGCCGAGAAAGCAGAATGCGAAAAAATCGCCATGCAGGAAAAGTTGAAAAAGGAACATTTGGCGTTTAAGGAAAAGTGCGCAAAAATGGCTAATTTTAAAAAGCTAAGGGAAATGTGTCTGAGGTTGGCCGAAGAAAAGAAGTGTAAGGATTTGATGGCGAAGAGTGAATCAGAAAAAGATTCGTGTAAAAGTACTAATAATGTAAAGACACAAAAGCAGGATGCTTGGGAAGAGAAAAATAATAAATACGAGCCTGACCGCCGAGCCGAACGAAAAGCAGCTGGTGCAAAATTAAGGGAAGAATGCGAAAGAATAGCTAAACAGACTCCAGAAGAGTCCGGATAATGAGTGTTGTCTTATGAACCTATATGAGCAGAAATCGTGTAGTATACAAACTAGACAATCTCTCAAAACGGTCAACATTTAAAAACAGTAGAAATATTTTTTATTTAGGCCTTATAAATTTATTCCTACGTTTTGGAAATGTGTTGACGGAGCTACCGGAGAAGAATCATGCACATAATAACGCACATTTATAAAAATATTGTTCATAAATACAAATGATTCAAGCTGCTCCACTTTGCCTACACAACAGAACAACCGATTTTTGTTTTTATTATCCGATTGTTACCAACTTAGGACAAATATATATATAAATATATATGACAAGCTAAATTACAAATTTCCATTAAAACCGTAATTTTTTCCATGGCATTTGCAGGTATTTCATGCTATCAAGGATGTCATAGAGTATGACTATGGACTGGTCTGTTTCAGCTTCAATCTTGTTAACGTGCGCCCTGATCCCGCTTTTTTTTTCACCCAACTTGAATAGCACATAAAGACAAAAGTGATAATAGAGGTGTTTAATATCGATACAATTTATAACGAGCACTTCTGAGTTTCGACTGGCGCTCGCGCAAATACAAATATACATACATATTTTGAGCGGCTTAATTGAGATTTTCAAATTGACTAACAATGTGTTTGGCTGAAGATTATTTTTATGCTTTCGTTTGGACGGAAAGCCTAGATATAAATGGGAAGTGAAGAAAACGTAATAAAAATAATTTGAATAGTAGACAGATTAACAAATTTGAAGCACATTTGGAATATAGCAGTGCCATAATAAAATTAAGGGCTTATTGCTGGTGCTGTCGCGTTCTTGAACTGAAAGGTTGGATAGCGCGGAGCAAAGGTGTTGTCTCCAATGCTTTGAGTGTGTACCGAATCATCACGTCCGCTTATGATTGGTGCCCGGTATTCCGTTTCCACAAACTGTGGTGGCGCTATAAAAAAATGTAAAATAGCACTTGTACGCTTGTTTGGTCATGGGAATTAAATTTGTACTAACGAATATTAGGGTAAAGTGCGCCGCCGGCACTATCAGCCACATTCCAGCCAAGGGCACCACCCAATCCACCATCGCCGGGTGGACTAACTGGACTAACCGGTTGTGTGGGTGCTAGAGAGGGATCTTCTGTTTGTGGTTTTAAAGCAGCCAGCGGTATTGTGCCGAGGGTAATTGGCACTTTGCCGGTGAGATTGCGATGTGGTCCACTTACATCGCACTCCACATGCAAATCATAGTCTAGAGCAATTATGCCGCAATTCAGTAAGTTAGTTGGAGGCAGTGCAGGTATTTCCATTTGCTGTGTAAATGTATGAGATTCTCCGGCGTTGACGGGTCCAACGCTCAGCTGGGCAATTATCACTTTTGATTCGCGTTTCTCACTGCGCGGTTGGTTCGTATGGAACGTGACAAGTTTGCGCAATTCAAATTTAACTGCGGTGAGATTAACATTGCTGGTGTTATCAACCTCACAGGTTATGGGCAATATTTGACCCGAAACATAACCAGTTTGTGGTATGCTTGTGATAACGGACAACGGACCAGAGCGGCAGCAAAAGCAACAGAATGACTTTTCCAGTTCAAGCTTAAACGTTTCCTTAACACGTGGATTCAGATTTAAGTCAACTGGCGCTATAACAGTAAATGCCATTTTCATATCCTGATCAAACTTCCAAGGCCTATCCAAAGTAACTTTGATGGTATAGCGCACATGACCGAATTCACCCTCAAATGAGGAAGGCAAATTGGGCGGTAGGGCGCAAGTAAACGGATAAGTGTGAGTGCCCGGCGGCAGTTCGGTTTCGGAACCTATAAAACAAAGAATGTTAACCTTACAATTGATTAATCGAGATGGAAGAGCATGACTTACTGTTCTTGCCGCCAAGCAAGTAGTATTGTATCTTGAAGTACTCCTCATGTCCCTTCAGGTGCGTAGTCTCGTTCTCAGTCTTGCCCTCACTGGTTGTTACGTTACGCTCCTCGGTCCACTCCGTGTTAGCTTCGCCCAAAAAACGTATAATAATGCCTGCGTTGAACAAGTGGTTGGAAATGTACTTTGTGTTTGTAAAGAATACAATTTATTTTCGTGCCACACCTCGCACACCTCGACTGCGTGTCTCGCAAATGCTAAAAATAACTGGCTACTGCGACAAATGCTCAGCTCTGCGATTCTGTCCCGCTCTATGACTGCCAAACCGATGACATCATCGCAAACAGCATCATTCCACTGTTGCGTACCAATAGGTTGACCTCAATTAAAAATGTAATGCTCATTTTTGTATAAATTAATTTGGCAAATTTAAAATGTAGACTTTAGAAATTGGGAGTATTATGTTTTTAGTTTGTATACAGCTTCAGAATGGTATACAAATACAATAAAGAAAACAGGGTCCACCCAAAAACCACACCATGGGTGTGTGGTTCGCTTATTTATTTACATATATATGACTAACGGGACCGGCTTTTTGCGACTGAGCAGAAGGTTTTTGTTATGGGAGATTAGAAAACCAGCTGTCTTATAAACCAAATAGGTATTTGGTTCTCTAGTATATAAATTGATTATCATTAGCTGCTCTGTTGATGCCGTCACTTTTATGAGTAATACCATCTCAATTAAGTTATACAGGTCGGAATACATATATTTGAATCAAACTCCTACCTCGTACTTTTTTGGGCGAGTCAAAAGTTATTTTGACTTGGCCGTTGACAGTTTGTCCAGCGTAGTAAGTGTTCCATGGATTGTCCAATTGCACCTCACAGCCTTTGAGACCCATTGTTTAATATTAGGTTAACGTACAAAATAATTCAGTTTAAGTGGCAAAACCCAGCGAAACTAAACAGTACCGAATCGCACGGTATAGGTTCGTTCGAACGACTAACTGAACTGAGCCTACGAACTAAATCCTGAACTAAATCCCCTGGTTCGTTCACATGGTTCGTTTCTATGAGGCATTTAGAATTTAACATTTTAATAACAGCTAACCATTTGAGTACAAATAAAAGATTCATTTTAAATGATCTAAATTTTGGCAATTTATTTCATGCTAAATTTGAGAAAATACCAATTATATATGAAAAGGTACAGTAATCTAAGAGCATATTAAGTTTTCTGTAGGGTTTAAGTTAATTTTGCGTTAAATGAAATAGCTCTTATTCGACCTGTGAAAAATGCTGCTTAACGGTGGAGTAATCTTTTTTAATGCAGCCCTTGCCTATATTCGATAAGCCACGTGTTATCGAGTCGGTGATATCGACTATAGGATCGAAGAAGAATTTTTATTGCGAAAACGTCTTGTGTGCTAAATTTGGCTTTTAGTTATTGTTAAATATTGTAACTTACGATTAACATAATAGTGTAATAGAGTGTAGCAAATGTCGCTTTTTCGCAAACCGAAGAAAATACAGCGACGCGTATTCTCAAGTAATGCAGACGAGGACGATGATGCGTCGGCTATGGACATTGATGGGGGTATGGAAACGCCCCCACCGCCTCCGCCTATAATTTCCGCATCTGGGAAGCGTGATAAAGATACAAAAACCAAAAAAACAATTCGACAACCCGATGAAAGTGGAGCAACAACTGGTACAAGCACTGTCCAGCACAAGCCTAAGGCACTTTTAAGTTTTGCTGACGATGGTGAGTGATTGATCCTATTGGAATGATAATGTGAAGCGATTGATATTAATCTTTATTCATGCAGAGGACGATGGGGAGGTGTTTCAAGTGCGAAAATCCTCGCACAGCAAGAAAGTCATGCGAATGTTGGACAAGGAGCGACGGAAGAAGAAGCGCGAGGAGCGTGCGGAACACACGGGACTGAGCGGACACCCGGGTTACGAGAATGGTAGTACTATCCAGCATTTAGAGTCGTCCAGTGCCACTGCTTCGGGTGCTGGTCCAGCCAATCTGTCTAGTAGAGTACAGAGTAAAAGTAAAAAGTGTGATAATGATATGATCCAAACCGAAATACGCACAGACGACTTTGTGGTAAGGTTATTATTATTCAATTTTCCTACAAAAAACAACAAACAATTTTTTACGATTTACGTACCAAACAAATATATAAAAAGAATATGGAGCAGTTTAATTTACAATAGGAAAAACAAACCAAAAATAAGCAATACATATAATCTTGGATATGTCTTTGGCTTGATTGTTTAAAATGCTTACATTGACATTTGCAGATTAGCAACATTAATACAAAATTTATCCAGAAACAATGCTACAGCCATAAGATAGATCCTTGTCAGAATCTAAATATTTATTACAAATAAGTTGGAGCTTATTTTATTTTTATATTGCACATTCAACCTCTGTTTTCAATTAACCACTTCCTCGCACTTACTAATGCATGTTTCCTTTCTAAAGCTGGTACACACTTCGAGACCAACACGAGCGATTCGAATGTCTTCTTTAAACTCATATTTTTGTAGTCCCCATAAATGGGAGATGATACAAATGTTTACATTAAATTTAGAACTACTTTATAAATACATATATATATTATATTATATATAAATGGAAAATGAATCGTACATATGTATATGAGGCTCAGTTTGGTTGTCTCGAATTGTATACAAAATATGTTGTAAAACTCTTCATTTTCATGCAAATACATTCGATAATATTTGCTTCACTCTTGCTCCCAAAACCAGCTTGTTGTCAAGAAGTCAGAAACTCCTGATGTTCTTTTAAATGGACGTGCCGCGCTCTGCGCTGGTCGCGACGATATGAGCGACGAGGAACAGACGGATGATAGAGATCATGATAAAGCGCGGCATCGCTTCTCAAAACCAGAGCACTTAAAGCAAATGCTGGAAAGCGGCTCCATACCAGATGCTGCCATGATTCATGCGGCACGAAAACGCAGACAGCGAGCTAGGGAGCAGGGTAAAGGAGCAACATTACTGACTGTAGAGCAATAATGAAAAAATTCCAATTTTTTAGGTGCTGGTGACTACATACCCATTGAGGAGCCCAAGGAGGCGCCTAAACTTAGCACACGATTGCCACGTGAAGATGTCGAAGGCGATCAGTCGGACGATGAAGAGCGCATGGATATGAACGACATAACGGGTCGGAAGGAGCGTGAAGAGCGTCGTGAACAGTTTTATGCCGTTGAGAATGATTGTATGTAGTAGTCTGATAGCTAGTACAATGTGTCGAAGACCAGACGGCAACAGCACGTCATTTCTGTAGTAATTCGTTCGTTCTTTCATACAATTTATTTAATCTTTGTTTGATTCTCACTTTAGTAACCGAGGAAGATTCCGATCGCGAAATGCACGAATGGGAGAATCAGCAGATACGTAAGGGTGTCACTGGCGCCCAACTCGTGCACGCTCAGCATGAAACCGTGCTTTCACGTTTCATGATCAAGCCATCAGCGCCCAGTGGCGAAGAACCCTTGGAACTGAAGGACATAGCGCGACAGGTGCCGCCATCAACGGCAACATTGTTGGAGCAGGCCTATGCAAAGACCAGCATTGACAGAAAAAGTGTCATGGCATCGGTAATGCGTTCCAGCGTAGCCAAGCCCAAGAGAGAAAAGGCGAAGGCGACGGCTTTGAGGACACCACAGGAAATGCGCACAGCAATTTTAACGCGTCTGACAGAACTACAGGAGCGAAATAAGGATCACAGTGCCAGCATTGCGCGCATTGCAGCCGAATTAAAATCTTTGAAGCTGCAACAGCTTGAGTGTCACCAGAATGCGCCTACGGCGGCCGCTAAATACAAGTTCTATCAAGAGATTAAATGTTATGTTAACGATTTGGTCGACTGTCTGGCCGCCAAGTTGCCGCTGATAAATGACTTGGAGAAACGCGCCCTGCAGCTGTATGGCAAGAATCAACGTTATCTAGTCAATCGTCGGCGGCAAGACGTGCGCGATCAAGCCAAGGAGATGGCTGAGGCATCAAGTAAGCCGGCTGAAATTCATTTATTTACTAATTTCTTCTCATGTTGGATTTCAACTTACAGAACCACTGTCGGCTGCTGCACGTCAAACACCGGAACACGAGGAGCAAGTGCGTCGTGCGGCCGAGCGAGAAGGCCGGCGCACGCGACGTCGCTGTGAGCGTGAGCGCAATTATTTGTTAGCCTCCCATCTGGATGGCATGTCCAGCGACGATGAGATTGCCGATCAACAGCAAGAACAGTGCCAAGCAGCGAAGGAACTAATCGAATCGCAAGCAGCAGAAGTCTTCGAAGATGTCACTGATGATTTCTGCAAAATCGATCTGATACTTGTTAAGTTTTATGCTTGGCGCAAAACGGATATGAATTCGTATCAGGATGCGTTTGTTACCCTCTGCCTACCCAAATTGCTAGCACCATTGGTGCGTCATGAGTTGCTACTATGGTCGCCACTGCTAGAGGAGTACACAGACATTGAAACAATGAATTGGTATCAGGCGTGCATGCTGTACGCCTGTCAGTCAGATGAAACGGTTGAGCGTCTAAAGCAGGATCCCGATGTTAATCTGGTGCCCTCGCTGATAGAAAAGATTGTGCTACCCAAACTGAACTGTAAGTGCTGCCTCAAACACACACGGATAATAGATTAGTTTAGTTATGTTAATTTGTTATTGTTTGCATTTAGCCCTGGTTGCGGAGTGCTGGGATCCATTGTCAACGACACAAACGCTACGGCTCGTAGGCTTTATCAACCGCCTGGGTCGTGAATTCCCGCTCAGCAGCAGCAACAAGCAACTTAAAAAGCTTTTTGAGTCAATTTTGGAACGAATGCGCCTCGCGCTGGAAAACGACGTATTTATACCCATCTTTCCCAAGCAGTAAGTGAAAGTCTATAAGGAAGGCAAAGAGCTTTTAATAAAAATATTGTTAATCCGTTTTCCATTTAAGGGTGCAGGAGGCCAAAGGCTCGTTCTTTCAGCGTCAGTTTTGTAGTGGTCTAAAACTGTTTCGCAACTTTCTAAGCTGGCAGGGTATTCTGGCCGATAGGCCGTTACGGGAGCTAGCCATAGGAGCTCTGTTGAATCGCTATCTTCTTATGGCCATGCGTGTATGCACGCCAAATGATGCAATTAGCAAGGTCTATATTATAGTGAATACTCTGCCAACAGTTTGGTTGCTGACCAACAGCGATACGTTGAAGAATTTGGAGTTATTCATTAGCTATATACGACAAACACTGGACAATTGCGATGCTAATAATCCACTACTTATGTATGTATCTAAAAAGGACTTAACATTTTTGGAAAATAGAAATATTCCATTTAACATGTATATATCTATTTTATTCGATAGGCAATCCTGCGACAAGGCAAAACAGATACTACAAAGACTACATAGCTTATAAAGTGCATACATTACATAAATTTATACCAATCACACTTATCGCGATTTAAACTTAGCTCAATGATAGATTTTTGCTTTTGAATTGTCAACCACAATTAAATACTATTGATATTTCCTATCTTATAAAGCATAACAATAACCAAATCTCCCGGTTCTCCTATAAAACTGCTCAAAATTGTCGGCAACTATTTAAGAATCTGTCTACAAATTATGCATAAACAAAGATGTTCATACTTTTATAACCATGGTTATTTAAATATTTGAATCGCTTATTTTGTTGGTTAGTAAAAACCCTCGACAACCAAATTTCAATAAGAAAAGAGTCTGTAGTATATAAGCTAATTCGGGACAAAGCCTCTTGTTTCTTGATTGTCTTTCGTAGATTAGTACTACTTTGAGCAACCTAAAAAAAAGTGATAACGATTCAGACACTCTTAACTTTATTGATTGTATTTAGGAGACTTGCGCGAATAGCAAAAATAAAACAATTTTTAAATTATTTACACAATACTTAACAATTCCAAAACACATATTTCTTCTGCAGCAGACCATAACCAATTATATTGAAAATGAATTTGAACTCTAATCTGGACTGTTTTTGTTGGAAGTCCGAAAGTTTTAGATTGTATTTTAATCAGCCTTAGAGACGGATGCACGTGAATAGTTCTGGGCGAGATCCACGACCTCCGCTTGCAGCGACTGCAATTGTTCGTTAATAGACTTGCATTCGGCACTGTCAGGCGTTGCTTGTTGCAGCATTTGCAGGACGAGATCTGCAAGAAGTTGGCATGTTAATTTCGAACAGATTCACTTAATACTGAAGCCATACCATGATAACGTAACAACAGGGCATTTTGCGGCTCATTTAGAGTGGCACGAATGTGTTGCAGGATGGCCGAGACAAATTTTCCGGACGCATGCAAAATGCATCCAGTGATTGTGGTGAAGAGTACCAGTGCAGCCAGATGAAGTAAAAGTGCGGGCTCATGGCATTCCAGTAACTGTTGCAGTAGCTTCTCCTTGTGACCAACAATAAGTGCGCGATCTTTTTTCTTATCAGCTTTTTTTATAATCATACTACACGCTTTCAGAACCGACTCCGTGGCCAGCTCGAACTCCTCAATGCTTCTGTTCAAGGTTTTGTTTTGTTCCAGTAAAGCGTTGCGGTACTGTGCATCTAGTCAGGAATAAGCCAGGAAATGAGTGCAAATGGCATGACTGAATTTTATTTTTTGATAATTTACCAAACTCTTGTATCAGTTTAATGCGTTGATCGACGTTCAGGTTTGTGGACTTGACCGACAGACTGCATTCGGCGGCCACATAAAGCGTCAGTTCATTGCAAATGTCGTTACCCAGTGATTTAAGCAAATATTTTACCAGTTGCGTTTGCGTGTCGGCGTGGAACAGCTTTAGGCCCTTTTCGTAGAGGCGTATGTCGACGAGCAGCATGTTAACGCGTTCCTGTATGGCAGCATGCGTCTGGCGTCGATTCGTTTGCGGAGTCGCCTCATACAATTCTTGGGCCTTGGCTAACGCGACCTGATTTAGCTGGCTATGTATCATAATACAAAAGGAATGAGCTTAAAATGAGATATGGCGAACTGCAGTTCAATTTACTTCAAATAGAGCGCAGCAATTGGCTTGGCTAAATGCTCTAGACCCTCCTCCTCCAGTGTGATCTTGATTAGATTTATGATATCCGAACTTTTGACCAGTTCTAGCGCTTTTACGGATTTGCGCGTATTACCAGTTGACTGCTGCTCTGTGTCCTCTTCATCCTCGCTGTCATGATTGTGAGCAGACGCACGCCCACGTTGATGCTTCTTGGTCGATTTGGTTTTAGTTTCGCGTCCTTGAGCACCGCCACCCGCTTTGCCAGAGGCGGCTTTTTTGCGACGCTCATCGCGCTTGTCCATTTTGCTATCGTCATCTGCATCGTGGGCGGTGCTCAGGTTGTTGCCCTTTTGAGCCAGCGTTTTTTCTACAATATATTGCTGATAGACGCCATTGTCGATGGCTGATTTGGCCAGTGCCAGAGCCATGTCATGACAGGGTTGTACCAATTCTGTAAGATATGCCTGGGAAAAGACTGCAACAAAAGTGTTAAGAGAGGTTCTTGATTATTTCAAGTTCAGATCACTTACCGACGCTTTCTAGATATACAAAATGGCTGGAATTGCAGTGCTTTTGGGCCATGACTGCGTCAAAAGCCTCTGCAATATCTTCCTCCGACAAATTAGATGGCAATATGGTGGATAAATCTAGATAATGCTTGGTGGCACTGCACTCATTAAGGGCGGACACCACGGTCAATTCAATAAGACGTGCGCCCAGCGCAACACGCTTAAGGAACAGGAAATGTTCGTTCGGGAATTGCTTGCGTATATAAGTCTTGGCATCGGAAATGCCCAGTTTGTTGATAGCCTCGTACTCCAGGAAGCTGTTTTGCTTGTAAAATGAGTTGACCCAGTCGGCCTGTGTCTTGGCGTAAATGTGCGGCACATACTGAGCATTGGCCTGCTTAGAGGTCACCTGTCCGGCTGGCGAGATTTCATCGAGCAGCGAATGAAAGATCTTCTCCTGCACATTGATCTGCTGCAGAATAACAGCCACATTGGTGGGCTTGGTGATGGCTGCCAGAGCGCCACGTATTTTCGCCTTGCAACGTTGTATGTATGCTTGGGTAAAAAACACACGCGGATTACTGGCATCCTGACGACCCTTAATGATCTTGCCTAAATGCTTTTCCACCACATTCTGCTGCAGAAAGTCCGAAGGCAGATCAAACTGTGACGTTAAATCCGATATAGAAATTTCTCCACGTTGCGCCAGCTTCTCGTTGATTTCCTGCGCAATATGCGTAATATAGTCCTCGTCGATAAGCTGACCAAGCATAAGGTGTATATGTGGATTCTCGGCCGCTATGCGTTCCGCCAGCGTAACGATTCGCGACAGATCAACATTTAGAGTTTTGCTGACCTCTACAAGATTGGCGCGACCCCCGTTTGCATACAATTCATCTTGTATTTCGCGTTCCAAATGGTCGGGGGTGATGTACTCCTTGCCATCATTCGTAAAAACTACATCCAGCAGTTGCTTCTCCAGCAGCAAAGTAACTATTTCAATACAATTCCGTTCCGAAAGCCTGGCCAGAGTTAATAGGTTATAAGGTGACAGCTGTTAATTAGTTATTTGACTGTTTCTTACTTTTGCAGCGTGGAAGTCAGCTGCGCCTTTTGAAAATCAGCTGCCAAGCGTTTTATCTCGTCCCAGTCGCTGCTCATTTTTATTTAATAGTTATTGCTAATAATAAATTTGGCTTCAATAAAATTGGGTTTCAATCAGAAATGTGACGCGTCAACAAAAGTTGACGTTATCGATAGCCTATCGATAATTTGTAATCAGTCAGCTGCTTCAGCTTGATAACATTTTGGTATTTTTCTTACTGCCGACATACGTTCACACCTTGTTCTTAAATTATTATTTTTAAATCAAATATTTAGATCGAATTGCCGACTTTGAAATATGTTAATTGATATGTATGTCTGTATAAAGCAAGCCATGTATTACTAACACTAACTGTGCCAAGATGTCGATATCAAAATTATTCGTGAAAGTTTTCAATGAGGACATTTTTGAGCACCTGGATCAGGAAAACTACAACTCTGACTTGGAAGATGATTTGGAGGGAGCAAATTGCTCTACTGTGCCGGATCCGCGAACGCCAAAGCTCGATGAGCTTTCTGTGACAAAGTGCGTTGCATCAGTTGTCAGACACTAGGATAGGGATCTATCTCATATTCTAAATCTTTCGTAGGCAAATGACCATTGTGAGGAACTGGTTGGATGACAAGTTTCAGCAGATACAAACCGACAGCAATGAGGAGATACGTAAACTCTATATGGAGACAGAGTCGCGCATCGGTCCCGAATTAGCTATTTTCGATGTGGACTATACGACAACTGTGCGTGTGTCTACCGATAGGCTGGCCTTGCGTTCCCAGGGAAGTTTCAACACTGTGCGCGCAAATTGTTGCGTTTATGGCGGCCGTTGGATGTATGAGGTAATCATCGTTGTTACTGCCAATGGCTTGGGTAAGGGTATGGGCTATGGCCATGGATTGGTGGTTGCTTAGCCAACGGTCAATGACATTGAAGTTTCTAAACAGATTTTTGGAGTATGGGGTGCACGTGCGCGTTATCGACATATTCTAACTTAGTCTTGTTTGCTTTACTAGATCCAATTGCACACGAAAGGCGTAATGCAAATGGGCTGGGCGGCGGGCACTTGTGGATTTAATGAAAATAGCGGTGTTGGCGACACAAAATTCAGCTATGGCTACGATGGCAGCAAGCAACAGGTCTGGCACATCTCAACCAGAAAGTAAGTTGGACTCTTTGAAATCGAACTCTTGATTCTAATTCTAAAACTTGAACAGATACGGCGAGAAGTGGCAAATTGGTGATATCATAGGTGTCACAATTGATATCGATCGCGAGATTATTGAATACTATCGTAATGGGCGATCAATGGGCGTGGCCTTTGACAAGATTCAGAGAGGGCCGGGCATTACCTTTTTCCCTGCCATCTCTCTGGGCTATACACAGGGCGTACAGGCCAACTTTGGCAATCGACCGTTTGTATATCCAGTGGCCGGATTTCAACCTCTGATGGCACGCCCCATATTGAAGCTGCGTCGCGCCAATTTAATTATGGACTATCTCATCAATTTGGCTGGCATCTTTTCTCACTATAACGCACAGTCACGTACAAGCCAAAAAACAGGCGAAATACGAGTGTCCACCAAGAAGACGGTCTACTGTATATTTGCAACGTTGCTCATTGAGCGCTTCACGAATGAGATTTTTGATCCTTATATCATTGAGGATGTGCTACTGACGCGTGTCACAAATATGACTACACTGCCGGCTGAGAAAGAAAATCCTCATAGCGTGCTCATGGGCCTCTTGTCCTTGTTCTGGAACTTTATGGAGGCCGATGAAGTCAAGTTTGTTCTGCGCAAACTGGTCAATGCCCTCTTGGCTATCTATACGCACACCGTACAGGGCATGGACTATGAGAAGCATAGACAGGCGCTGAGCGTACTCCACTGTATCTGCTTGCATGAGCAAACGCGCAAGTATCTGCTGGAGGGCAAGCTCTTCAAAAAACACTGGTATGCTGAGAAGTATTGTTTGTGGATTTGCATATGAATTCGTTATTTTGATGCTTTCCAGCTTGGCCTTCTTTTTGTACGTACATCCGCTGGAGTTTTATATAATGGAGGAAATACTGCCCGATTATATGGCCTGGACAGAGGGCATTGATGGACCCAAGGACAAATATTTAAATGCTGTGGAAAAGGTGCGCAAGATCACTGAAGTTTTGTACGCAGCCCAAAAAGACTTGCTTAAAACGCTGATGATCAACACAGATGGCAGCGGAGAATCTCCCTCTAGTCGCAAACTTTTTCTTAACAAAATGCGGCGTTATGTCATTGATTTAAGCATGGAGCAACGTGTTAGTTATTGCCATTAGCATCCAGACCATTTCCACTTAAACAAGTCCTTTTATTTCGCAGCCCTTTCACGCCTTTTTCTTTATGCAGTCTAGCATACAGCATCCGCTGGATCCGCCAGTTGCTCTTGCCTTTGTCTGTATACTAGTCGATCAAGTGCGATCCCTGTTTAAGGATGAGCTGCCCACTCACCTTATGGAAGTGAATGCCGATTACTTTGTGGATGGTACATTCGATTATATGCACTTTGATCGCGTTGGCGGAGTTTTATCGCATCTTCGTAAGGTGCACAGGGGAGACATCGATTCCTATTTGGGCACAGAACGTACCCAGCAAATCTATGACGAGGATCGCAGTTCTGTACGGGTCAACGAAGTGGGTATGTATGGCGAGTCCTGCTAATTAGTTTGCGCAACTTTTAAGATACAACGTTTTCAGATACCACACTTTACCTGCTAGGCGAAAATATCAATAATGTGGCGGTGATTGGTCACACGCAAGGCGCTAACAACTCAACGTTCACCCACTTTCTTAATCCGCGCATAGCGCAAAATGCAGACACAGCCCCAGGTAGCTTATCCTCAGAGGCTAGCGTATGCGAACTGCTGGATATTTGCGTGCTCTTTTACTACTCAGCCGGGCATAAATATATAGTCAAGATAGCTGGGGTGCGTGATGAGATTGCCACGCTGAATGAGGTGCTAAGAGAGACAAAATACTACCGTGAGGATATCGAGCGCAAACTGATGGCCCTGGAACAGCATGCGAATGTCTGCATGAATGACAATCATCATCATATAATGTCCGAATTGCGCTCCAAGTTCAGTCAGCGACAAAATGTGTTTGCAGTGAGTGATCATCTCAGACTATCATTTAATTCACTTACTTATTATTTTATGGTACCGTCCACAGACACGTTCCATATCGCTGGCAAGGAAACAAGTTTGGCTGCGTGCTGTAGCACTGAACAGCCAACGGCGCTCGTTGTTGATATGGCTAATGGAGCGCATCGTGCGCACATTAACGGTGAGCAAGGCTTGCAATTTTCACAAAAGTTGTAGCTTCATATAGGAATCCCCTTGGTTTCAGAGCGCATCGAGCATGGGTCCACTCTTTGCATTTGTACCCGAGGTCTACATAAATACGTTGCCCATTTTGCTGGACACTGTCATGGACTTTAGTCATCACGATATGCGCGCTCAGTTTGAAGTAGCGGATGCCGAGTGCGCTGTCAATGCCGCGGCAGAGTTTTTGGGCTTGCATTCGGCGGACTCGCGTATTGTGCTTGCCTCCTGCAAAGATTCGTTGTTACAGGCATTGGGCACACTCACGTGCCACAAGCCGGGCGTGCGTGCGCTAGAACGTAGCTCAAAGCGCTCTCAGGCGGCTTTAGTGCGTGCTCTGCTACGACCTTACGAGAATCGCGCCTGGGGTCAAAGCAATTGGCTGTTGTTGCGCTTTTGGCTGGGCGAGGGCTATGCCTTTAAGGATTCGCGCCAGCCCAGTGTGTGGCAAGGTGGCTCACAGCCGCTGCAACAGGGACTATGCCGCAGTCGCTCGAAAAACGAATCGCACACCGGTCTGTTACACAATGTGGCGCCGGCAAATCCGTCCAAACACTTTCAGCGCTTAATTGGCTCTAAGATGTTTGAGGACGAACCGTTTGCCACCACTTTCCTTAACTCTGTTCTGAGTCAGCTAAATTGGGCCTTCTCAGAGTTCATACTGCTGCTTCAAGAGGTGAGCAGCTGCTTCTGGTGTATGTTCGATTTTCAATGATCTTTCGAATACTTTTTACAGATACAAAACACAGCGCAGCGTCAGGAGAACACACTCTTTGAGCCAAAGCAACTGAAGATCTGCTCCATGTGTTTTGAGCTAACAGTATCGCTGATGCGTTGTCTGGAAATGATCATAACTGTGGTGCCGGACGTTGTGACCGATGAGTCTCGTCCAAATAGTGACTTGCTATTGAATCGCATATGCCAGCTGATCAGTCAGGTGCTATCACGCGTTACAGTGCCGCCAGGTTGCTTTCAGTTTGTGGTGGACATGTGCTCTGCTGATCTGAATGCCGTCACACACTTTCCCATCATTAGTGCGGCACTGGGGATATTGTTGGCCTTGCTGCGCACCGAATTGGACAACGATGTGACACCGCAGAAGGTGACACGCATATCGCGCGCCTTTCTCACCGATCCCAGTTTTCAGTTTGCGACACTAGAGTTCGCGCTGGGCGAGATACGCACTCCGCTGCTTGAGCAGAAGGAGATACCTCGTGGCAATTTCGATCCCTCGTCGCGACCACATATTGATCCGCTGACTAATGATGTGCGCCTGCCACAACTTAATAACTCCAAGCGCATACGCGCAGATCCACCGATTATTAAGTTTGCGCTTTCTGATTGTGAGTTGTTTAACATTCCATAAAATATTCTATACTTAGCCCATTATCTTTCACAGATCCGACCCATGTGTCCCATGACGAAATCGAAGATGTGCGCCATCTTATTGAGAGTCTGCGTATCAAACAGACTCTGCTCTCAGATATTACGCTACCCTCGGAGGACTCGTTGTGTCCCATTTGCTGTGCCAAGCCGATCACTGCCGTTTTTACGCCCTGCAAACATCAATCGTGCAGCGACTGCATTATGCAGCATATGATGAACTCCAAGGTCTGCTTCTACTGCAAGACCACCATACAGACAATCGAAACGCTGGATGGCACTCTCATCTACTCCAATGATGAATCGGTGAACACTGCTACAGAGACTGCTTGAACTACCCCACCGCAAAAACCAACTAACCCAACAAAAATCTAGTCACCTTTAAACAAAAAATTGCTACGCTTAACATGTGGTTATTTACACATAAGTACATACATACTATATACATAGATATATATATTTTTAACTTCAGTTTTTTTCATTTTGTATTTTATATGCTTGCAATTATTTCAGATGTGATATGCTATAGTGCAATTTAAACACAGCTCTATGAACAGAAAACAGACCAACAAAATTAAATAGTTAGCACATTAATATAATTATTGTTTGTCATTTTATGATCTCTGGTTAATGCAACTATTTCCATATTTATTTAAGAGCACACAAACTCCAAGCAAGTGCATTTATATTTATGTTTAAGCTGAAAAACTATTTCCAAAATAGTTTGCATTTAAAATTGATAACAATTAGTGGAACGTCTATTTAAGTACGATAATTTATGTCAACATTATAAGATATTACAACTATTTAAATTCACTTTGTTAAGGAGCTGGTGGTTTGGTTAATGTATCGAAATCAAACTTTTTTTGATAACCAATTCCTAAGTTATAGAATTTTTAAACCTGCCTAACAATTAAAAAAACTAAAATTTAAGTAACGGAACCAAATTTAGACAATTCCCTAAGCATTTGTTCCGTTTCAATTCTCGTGTTATATATTTATTGAAAATAACAATTTATGATTGGCTGCGAGGTTTTCAACTTCAGCCAAATACAAATATTGTATTTCTGGAAATACAAATATAAACTTTTAATCAATTTTAACCACCGCACTTGTTCCGACTTTTCATTTCATTTTCAATTTAGAAAAATAATCAGGCATTTTGACAGTATGCTGATTATATAATACGGTTAAGTCCATATAAATAAAGGTATACAGTTTATTTGAGCACATTTATGTCTATATGTGTGCCTCAGGTGGTGCCAGGATGTGTTAAGCCTTAACTTAATTTAAAAATGTTTTTTTTTGGTATTGTCACTTTTCGAGAGGTCCAGAAATTTGTAGCTTATGTCGAATATTTATCAAGGTACATTTATAAGCAATATATGTAGAAATAGAACTATTCGATTTTAACAGTTTAAACAGTGTTTTTTTTTTTGTTTTCTTCTAATAGACATGGACAACAAAGCCTTTCAACTAACTATAGTTAAATATATGTATATAAATAGTACCTGTAGATACACATGCTACATATATATATGTATGAGAATCAACATCTAACTACAATTTAAGATCTAATAATTGCTGACTATACTCCAAGAGAAGCGCGTGAGAACATTGAGATATAGACGATGTGACTCAAGGGGCATGCTAAGATTTCGAATGCCAATCCCATTTGCCATCCCAGCTCATTTATAGTACGGTACAAGCATTCGAGTGCATGCGATGCGAGTGTCGTCCATTGCCGTGACTAAAGCCGCTGCAGCACTGATGTGAGATGGGACCGGAGCTGCGGGCGTGCTGGAAGCTCTGGCTGTTGCTCATCTTGGGCTCGTGCAGCGGATGATGACAGCTGGGCGCATGGCTGTGACTGCAGAAAACTTCCAATTAAATTTGTTCCAGCTACTCGACACGATCTCTTACCCATGGTTACAAATGCTCGAGTCGGATATGGAGCTGGGCATGGCACGACTCAAGACCTGCGGCGGCGGTGGTGGTGGCAGAAATAATGGACAACCACCAGCTGCTAGCTCATCGTCACCACCATCGTGGCCAAAAATGGCGAGGCGCATATTAGCCGCCTTGGCCGCCGATTGAGATTCAATTTCATGCGCTTCTTCAATCATCTTGTCCAGTTTCTCCATGGCCTTAGTTTGCTTGGCGGCCAGAAAAGCCTTGCGCGCCGCCTTGGACATGGAGTGGGGTCTACAATGAATTAGATTATGCTTCGAGCCTTAGTTTTGGGTAGGGATAAGTGCCCACCTGGCCGGCGCGGAATTGGAACGATGCGGCGGTGGTGAATGCAGAGAAACGGATGTCATGGAATCCTTAGACACAGGTCGGCTGTTGCTGCCGGTTGCCTGCACCACAGCTGATGCTGTGCCGACCAAAGTCGACGGCGGCTTGCCCCGGTGCATGGGGCAAACTCCAAGAGTTGGTGCAGCAACTGCAGCAGCAGCAGCAACAGCAGCAGGTGGAGCTGCACAGTTCTCCTTGGATGTGGTAGCGATTAATGCGACTGGCGCTGTCGGCGGTGTCTTAACCGCCTCCCGGGTGGTGCTGGTGGAAAATGTGATTTTTCTAATTAGAATGGAGGTGGTGCCGTGGGCCATGTTGTTGAGCTGATACATACTTCAACTTCATGCTCCTCTCCCGCTCCAACGAGGCATTAGATGTGGATGGCATCATGCTGGCGCTGCTGCAGCTGGCCGACTCCCGCGGCGGTGCAGTCGAAGGTGGCGTCAGCTGATCCATGGCGGCTAGTTCCTCGGGCGTAAACTTGTCGGGATTACTGGGGCGTGGCTTGTGCGGAGCGCTGCCAATGCGAAATGGTGGCGTTGGGCTAAATCCACATGGCGATTGACAGCTATTTTTGCCGCTGTTGCTGCTGTTGGCCAATGGGCCGCGCGAGATTTGTAAATCCTCCAGAAACTCCTCAGTGTCCAATATAAGCGAGCCGAAGATGTCGCTGGGCGAGCGCATGAAAACGTGACCAGTGGAATTGGAGCGGGATTCGCGCCGCTTATTTTGCTCTGGCAAAAAGCCAGTGCCAGCACTGCTTCGCACTGGCGAGTTGGCAATGCTTCTCCTCGCCACATCCTTGAAGGTTACCGGCGAGTAGATGCGACTGCTGCGCTCATCGGTTGCTGCCGCTGCTGTGACTGCCGTGGCTGCTGTTGCTGCAGCTGGTGCATGATGAGCCATTGAAGTGGCAGCAACCAGTGCACCGCTGGCACCCAGCACCACATTTGACATGGCCGCCGGCGGCGGCTCAGCTGGCGGCGGTGCTATCGGTGCTATCGGTGGCTGTGGCTTAGGCGCCGGCAAAATGGCCTTGGGCATGGGTGTTAGCGGCGGTGCAGCGGACATCGGATGCAACTGTAGTCCAGCGGTTAGCTGTAGCGGTAGGCGATTCTCACGCTCCTCCAGCCAGTAGGTCTTCATGGTGCCTTTGCCCTTGACATCGATCTCGCCGCGCTCGAGTATTTTATAGCTCGGTCCAATCAGCACCTTGGTCGACTCCGATATGTGCACCTTCATGGCAATACTGGTGGACTCCATTCTGGAGGCGGTATTAACACTATCGCCAAACAGACAATAACGTGGCATCTTTAAGCCCACAATACCGGCGACGACGGCGCCCGAGTGAACGCCCACACCTGCTCCGATTATAAGAGGGATGTGTGGAATAAGGGGAAAGTATATGGAATCTATTTAATGGATAAGCTGTCTTACGTATTCTCAAATGCTGTCCCGTGGAAGGATCCTTCAGATCGGTTATGGCGTCGACCATATCCAGGGCCATATCACAGACTCGCTCGGCATGATTCGCATCCTTATCCGGTGCTCCAGCCACCACCATATAGGCATCACCAATAGTTTCAACTTTGTACACAGAATTGCGCTCCGTGAGCGTATCGAAAATTGAGTACATGGCATTCAGCATCGATACCACTTCCATGGGCGTAATTCGACTGCAAATCTCCGTGAACGTGACGATGTCCGAAAATAATATGGACACACTGTCAAACATCTGTGGGATAGTTGCAGGTCAGTCTCAGGGTATTTAAATGATTAGATGATTCGGGCACTCACCTCACACGTATCTATGGGATTCTCGCCGCGTCTTAAACGATCCGCCACCTGTTTGGGTATCATTTGATAGAGAAGCTCATCGGTGCGCCGCATTTCCTCATCCAGTTTGCGCATGGACTCTTCCAGTTTCTTGGACTTCTGTTGCTCCTGATCCAACGCCAGTTTCAGCTCTACGGACTGTTGTGTGCCCGCCAACATGAGATCTCTGCTAAAATCGTGCATGGACAGATCGTTTATGTAGAGACCAGTTGTGATCAGCGAGGTCAGATCGGGCATCACTGGGGTGCCCAGGAACATGATCATGCGCCAGTTTTCCATATAAACCATTTGCCCTGTAAACAGCAAATGAAAAGTATTTTTTGATAAATATTATAATTCCAATTTTCTCCTGTAAAGTTTATATATATATATTTATATATATATTTAAAGATCCTGATATGGGGTTTGCTTTTATGTTATTCGTATAACTAATAATATAAAAATTTGTTAGATAATTTTAATAATTAACATAGCTTCAGAAAGAAAAGATTAGTTTATTATATATGCTTAATTCCTCTGGAATGTTTGCCACATAGACAGAAATGTTGTTAGAAGAAAACTGAAAATTCTTTACAGATATTTTAATACTGATTTAGGAAATTAAAACTATATTATTAGGGATGTTTTCTTTCTTACTTGTAGAACCATAAATATACAGGAATATAAACACAAATAAAGAGAATTGTTTGTTAGAAGAAAATCGAAACTATAGAAAATAGAAAAAATTGATTTAGAAATATTAAAGCTATATATTTTTAGAGGATGCTTTAGGAGTTGCAACTTTATGTTTTCTTTTATTAATTCTTTTTTCTTCTTCTTTTATTAATATGCTGAATTTTACCTTTTAGCCGGAGGGATTTCTCCGGCTCGCTGCCATCGTCGTGCAGCAGCAAGTCCTCGTTCTGTGCATCCAAACGCTCTGTAACCGGATCCACGGTAACCAGCTCGAATATGTTGTTGGTGCGATTAAGTATCTAATGGGTTGGGCTAATTAAAAAATATGCATAAACGCTGGCCCACGGCACATACGGTTTGAAACTTGAATGCAATTAGCGGGCGCACCAAGTCGAACCAGGCTGTAATCTTCTTGCCTAATAGCTCCGGCAATATGACCATCAGGGAGTTGCCAATGCTGCGCACAACCATGTCAGCGCTGTGAGTGCAAAAGGGCGGGTTTCGGGGTGGAGAAGGGGTGGCAGCTGTTACTAAACCTCGCCAGGGATTTGTTATGTGCACAAGCTTACCCAAACACGATGCAAAATGGAAATATCTCAAAGAGGACGTGTGCGCTGATGGGTAAATGCTTCTCCTCGCGCGTCATGGCCAGGGAGGCGAGTGTGAAAGCCCGGTTATCGAATGTCAGCTGAAAAGTCACGTGCACCGTATCGAATAAAATCTCCTCGCGCACCAGCTCAATGTGCATCTCCTTGTGGTAGAAATAGCGTGCCACCTCCCGGATCTGTCCCATTGTGTAGTACACAAAGCCCCTCCTCTTCGATCGATAGTGCAGCGTGAGGCCCTGTTTGGTCTCGTTTTCGCATATAAAGCTGGGTGCGCGCATGCGAGGATACGAGAACTTAAGGTACTCATGCAGATTGTCCAGACCATTCAGAAAGTCACGCATGTGCCGTCCCAGCACCGACAGAACGCGATCGTAGCCATATTGACCCACAAAGCCAACAAAGTAGACGCCCAGACGATCCATAAATTCGCGCTCGGAAACGCCAAGCACCTGCAACACATAGAGTATATATAAATCAGTATAAGTTTATATTTGGGTCTTCTAATCTTCTAATTCTCACAGTTTGCGCCTTCTTAGCCAGCTTTTGCAGCAGATTCTCGGGATACACCTGATGCACGCTGAATGATGGCGAGTCGATGCCCGCCTGCCGTCTGATGTCCTCCCATTTCTCCTCGCCGTACACTGACTTGATGTACTCGGATAAATTCTCCAACAGCAGCCCATACATCTTGACAAAGAGTCTATTTAATCTAGCTGTTAGGATTATAGCCGCACTTAGTTGCCGCTAGTTTGGCCCATTGTTGATTTTCACCTGTTGATAAGGGTAGAAATTATTTGGCGAACTTTTTAAAATTGAACTTAAATTAATTTTAGGCTATTAAATTACCAACAAACAAGTAAAATTAAACTATAAGATTGGCCTGGACTTTGGGGAAAACAGAAATGTTTTATAATTTTCATTGATTACAATCATATATCATACAAATATATTGGAATACAAAAAAGTAATTTGAATCTATTTTGAAACTTGATATATAAAACGTATATACCAAATTTCCAATTTATTTGCGACTTAAAGATTTATAAAAAGCAGAATTGTGATCTTCCAAAGAATAAGAAAAATGTTGTTGAATATTGATAATAATCAATATTGAAAATTTACAAATTATTTATGTTTGGCTTCTGATGACCCTTTTTCACATTAAGCATACGCCCCGTGATGCTCTGCATGTAAATTGCATTAGAATATGTGTCCAATACCGATTGGCTTTAGATTTCATGGAAAACTGTGCACATTTCGGGCTAATCCCCAGAGGCAAGCGACCAATGTTGACATTTTGTGCAACGCGCCAGACATTTGGCGCCTCATAATTTTGCCAGCCTCAAGCAAAATTGGTTGAATTATTTTCTTTTTTTGTTGCCTTTGGGGAAATAAGTCAATAGATTGGCTCGTCTTTTGATGCGCAGTTTTTATCAGTCCATCAGCACTTTTGATTTAAATCAACATTTGGTCGACCAACTGATAGAAACTTGTGATTATTTGACTAAAACTGTTGACATATAATTTTCAATATTACTTCACACAGATACTTAAAACTAAGACTGGCTGCTCCAAGCATTCAAAATATTTCTGACTCTGTACAAGCATGACTCTTGGATCTTTGATCTGATGATGAATATGTTTGGGATATAATTTCCCATGAAACCTACTCAAACTACGTTTTTGTTTAAAGAAAATTAAAAGAAATATGAAATTGATTTAAAAAAATCGAAATAAAAAATAAAAAAAGAAAATGATAAATAAATTTTCTTTTTTTTTCTGTTAAAAGCAGATAAGCTAAATATAAATAAAAAGAGTTTTACGAACAAGTAAAGTGCATAATATATGTACTTGAAAATGCAAATTTATTAAAAGGAAATAAAATTGAATTAGCTCTTGACTCTGCAGCATCGTGCAGTCAGCAGCTACCCCCCTGCTACGTCTTTGTGTTGAAAAATCAAGTGCAATATTACGCATACGCCACGTAGCATGCGCAAAGGGTTCTAGGTAAATTGACTTGTCTATTATAAATGCATTAAATAATAATGTTGGCATGCATAAAATGAAATGAAGTGCCCGAGTTGATGCTAAATGTAGACTGTGCTTAAATATAATGCATACGCAGCGTAGGCCCTTACATTTTGTATTAATTGTCAAGGCGACAAGTTGAGACATGCCGCCAATGCTGGAATGGTTTTATCAGCAAGCCATTTGGGTTAATTTGGGCTTAAGTCAGGCCGACTCCAATGCTCCACTTGACAGTGCGTCTTTTATTGTCTATGTAAGTGGCTGTTAATTGACCTAAGTCAATTTATGTGTACATAGCCAACAATTAAGTGTAAGTGCGCAGGACAATTGCTATTTATACTGTGGTATGCTTTGGCCGCACATTCGTTGGCAATCTGGGAAATGCCTCGCCTCAAAGCAAAGCTAATTCAATTGCTTTCAAAGGCACCTGCCGTTGCAGCTAAATACAGCCAAGTAATTGCCAGATATTCAGACTGCCGTCGCCTTGAGAATCCTCAAGTCAAACTCGCATAATAAACAGCTGAGGCAGCAGGGCAACAGGCCACCAGGGTGACATTTGTTATTACTGTTGCAGTCGCATATGTTCGTGTCAATTGGAAGTCATATGCTAACCATGAGCAGCTGTAAACTGAGCTATGCACTTGGACGGACAGTCAGGCGGATAGATGAGACTGGTGACAGCACCTCAAGGCTGCAGTTGCTTACAATCTGCTGTAAATTACGGGCCATTCCAGGCTGCAGTCCACATTGCGGACCGTCGAAGTGCATTCTGGCATAACAGATGAGGCTAGCAGGTTGAGCTCAAAATGTCTGGCTGAAGGTTTCAATTCAGGAATAGCGTCAAGTGAATGCTCCAGCGAATTATCTTCAGCACCAATCAACCCATACCTTTCGATACTGTGGTAACCTAAAGCATAAAATATGAATGCTTTTTGCGATATGTGCCCCTTAGCTTCTGTGATTGAACAGCTTTTAGAAGGCGACAAGTCACATCACAAATCTCTAACAGACAAATGCTAAAAAAAATTACTAAGAACGTTGCAGTCGGCTGTACTCGACTGCCTAATACTCATTCGGAGCTCGGGAACCGCTTGAATTAGGATAGGTGACAAATTTTAATGAAAAATTTAATTTTTTTTAATTATATTTCTTATAAATTTTTAAAGGAGCCTATTTATACATCTATGATTGTAGAAGATACAGATATATCCAAACAAACATACTTCTTCCCTGGGATGCACGTGTTCAAAACTAATATATTTTTTTCACATTTTGTGAACGAGCATCGAAAAGGAATAGAATCCATTACTCTCACTTTGCATGGCTTTATTCACGGTTTATTGCCATTTGGTTTGTCATAAACATATTTCATTGTATGCTTTATGGTTATCCCACCTTCAAACCTGCCCATTCAGAAATTTATGCTCTGCGGCAACGCATAAAAAATTCCCAATGCCAAATGTAAAGCTTAAAAAAAAATCAAATATATTTGCATTTTGCTCCCGCGTTTTACTTCATTGCATTTTGGGGTCAATTTGTGGGGAATTGTGTTAAAAACTGAAATTTCATAAATTATATCAAACTGATTCGCTTTGAACTTTGCAATATTGTTCATTTAATTGCTTTTAAAAGTTGCATTTAATTTAAATTCCCCCAAGATTCCGCATAAACAAAAACACAAACTCTTGACGTCAGTTGTATAAAAAACGCTTTTTCAGTATTTTCCTGTTGGTGTTTTTTAAAATGTATTTAGAATAGATTATTTAAGAAGCTGGCCTTAAGGCAGATAAATCTTCATGATATATAGAAAAGAAAGAAAAATAAAGACAGCGCAGCTATTTATAAAACACAATAATGTGCAAACCATACAAAATATCAAATACAAAAAAAAGCTTAAAAATACTTATTTAGACATGGTACATACAAAAATTAGACAAAGTTGTCAACACAACATTGTGTATCTCATATATAAATAATATATAAATTAAACATGAAATAATAACTAACAGAAGAACTTTCATTTTCACGGGCACAGTAGGAGGTGGTGGAAGACAGCTCCCCTTCCACCCACCATTTGGCATTGGGCAGCAACAAAACATTGAACACTAGACGCTCCCAGAACACTTGTGCCAAAGAGATCAAAACATTGTCCAAAATGCTGTCATCTGTTTCAGTTCTACGGTTTAAATATAATGTGTATTTTTATTACATTTTTGTTGTCGCGCTTTTTATCGGCCAATTACGTTGCGGCATTTCTTCATGAATGGAATACCCATGGGATATACAAGCATCTATATATATATAGATATGCCCATTTATATATATTTCTGTTTAATTTTTTGCGCGTTTAAATTGCCAAAATAATAAACAGGATGTGAGCATGCTGCCTTGTGACGTCAGCAACCTATTGATGGGGTGCTGAGATTAGTGGCTACCGCAGGAAGTGCACACCGTTGACAGGAAACTCTTTCGTTTTCAAGTATGGTATTCCAATTTTTTTACGGATTTTAAGCGAATTTTATTAAATATTTTTTTAATTGAATAAAGCTGGTTTTTATGTTATATTAACTAGAAATCATGTGCTCGTGTGAAGCATATTTTTCGCGTGAACTCGTCCTAGCGAAACGATTAAACTAGAAATTTTAACAAAATAAAAGTGTGTTCGGCTTGGAAATATACTTTTTTATTTTGATGATTGCACATCATATTTCTAAATAAAACCTTCCTATGCGATTTTCATAAATTTGAGCAACGCAATAAAATGTTCATAGCCATTTTAACGAGTATGTGAGTAAGAGCAAATGTGATGAATCGCGAGAACAAGAGAAAGAAAGATAAAATACGGAGTAGAGAGAGAGAAAGAGAGAGAGAGACATAGAACGTGAATAAGACTGAGAGTATAGGCGGGAAGAGGATGAGTGCTTGAAAGAGACATGAGGAAAACTTTATGCATGATCAGATTAATTATCACCTTAGCTCGAAGTGCTCATTAAAGAATATATATAATATTTTACGAGGTCGGATCGATATAGAAAACCTAATAAAATAGTAATTATATAATTTACCTTCAGAGTAATAAAATAAAATATTAAAAATACTAAATATTCTTAAAAAGAATTACGCGTCGAGACGTATTTGACCTACTGTAGTTCGTGTCATGTGCCCATCTCAAATGCAAGCTAATTAAGCTGAGTAAACTGTCAGCAATAGTGTTGCGAAACGATTAAAATGTTTTGGATTGACTGAAAAACACTTAGTACATACGTATTTGCCAGAAAATGCACAGATGAACTTTTGAAAAAGTCAACTAAAAGAGTAGAAAAGTGAAAAGAGATATGAAGCGTTTGCTTGTTGCCAGCTTTTCGCGGCTTGTTATCATCAATCATGGCAAGTTATGACTACATATTTCATCGAAGCGGGCAGCGACTGCAATCTGCATACAAAGTTGGGTTCTACTTTGAAGCGTTGCATAGCTGACCTTAATATGTCCTTGACCATCGTGTAACGCACTAGACTGATGTGCGAATTTGTCATGCACATTGACAGTGAGTGATGGAATGCTTTACAAGGTGGAAATTGTTTTATGCATTTTGACGGGCTTCACTTTAGATGAGAAGAGTTGTGTGTAACTAAGTTACCTGGTTGCAGGTAAGCTTAAATTAGTTTTAGTATCCGATTCTAACCGGCAAGAGTTTAAAGAGTTACCGTTTAAGGTGTTTGTCATGTCCCGCTTTGTGGGCCTAGTCGAGATGTTTTTCATTCAATTTTCCAGCCTCCAAAAGCAACGTCAAAAAATGCACATCATATGCAAAATAAAGGCGAAAACATTCGCGGCTGTCGTAAATTTCAATGAATTTATAAACAAACAGAAAAAACAACGAACATTTTAAAAGGCAAATACAATTTTGATGCCAACACCTACTGGCAATGGGCAAATATCTTATATACACACTCCTACATAAATGGCTTATATACAGAGCTATATCCATGCACACTCTTCCACGCATGAGTGTAATTATGAGGCAAACAATTAATTTTCAAGTTCATTTGCGTGGGTAACGCGGAGCTCTCGAGCGCCAAGACCCTAGCAGGGTCTATATAGATAGAGCATACAGAGATATATACGCATATGATCCGAGAGTCAAGTAAATACATATGCATATATTTATTTTTATATTTTTGAGATGTATGAAATGTATTTGTACATTTTTGCGCTTTGAAGGTGGCTGCTTCATGTTAAGGTTAAATATACATATATGAGCGATGCCATAGGAACGAGTATAGCATATAGGCTATACAGTATCGAGAGCTTTCGTAGTTTCCAATTTTACTTATTCTATTTTCTATATATTTTTTCTTTCACTTATTCAATATAATGGCCATGGGAGGGAAGTTGCCGAGCGTATGACTCAAAATTTGATTTAAATTTTTTTCTTGCTTTAGCTCAATGTTGGAAATTGCTCATACGCCGCGTTAACATTGCGGCCTTTTTATTTTCAGTTTCGTCTCGTTTCATTTCGCCTGACACTCAAACACAATATTTAAATATTTTTGGGAATTAATTTGTAGCAAGTGCAACAAATCTAAAAGCATATAAATGGAATTTTTTGTTTATTACACTATACACAAATTACTGTTAGTATAAATAGACCTATATTATTAAATAGTCTTTGCATCAGATATAAATGTTGCTGTCTGTTTAGCTGACACTGTGGCATTTGCTCAATAGTTTATGGCAGATTATTTGGCAGCATCAAAATTATTTACATCTGTGAAATGCAGTTATAGAGAAAGAGTGAGAGGGAGAAAGAGTGGGACAGATTGAGAGAAAGCAAAGAATTATCTTAATAATTGACCTCATTTCTTAAGCGGCTACTTTTGCACAAATGCCTCATATATATAAATTATTTATGATACATATTTGTATTCGGGGAGCCCACAATGATATATAGCGCTGGTTAAAATTGGTTGTGGGAAAATAATTAAGATGTTTATATATGCAGCTGTTTCATGTCTTAAGGTTAAGCCTGTCTGAGTTTGGAAGGTAAAAGTTTTGCACACAGCCCCAAATCAGCCACTTTGGGCTAATGGCTTAAGAGCCGTGTCTGCCTGTTCTGGCTAAAACCAATTGGGAATTATAAGTGCAAGCGCGTGCTGTACACCAATGGGATTCGTGGCGTGTGAATGGTTATTCTCTCATTGAAGCCCGTTTAGAAATGGGTTGGAGAAAGTAGCCTAACTTAAGCGTTTAATTAATGCTTAAACTTTATTACAGTTTTAAATAGCGCTTAGTTGATAAAATAATATACAAATTTAAAATTCTACTTGATGAGGCTGTGTAAGAGAATTCTGTAAGATTGTCTGTAAATAGCAAGTGTTATGACATAATATTAACAGCTGTCATGTCGCTGAGTAGAGGTTCTTTTGAAATCCTTGGGCATATCTTAATCCCAATTCCTTAGCTAGTTTTGGGCTTCACTTATTTTCAACATTATATACTTGAAGTCCACATAAATTGTGTTTAGTAGTGAAGCACAATACAAATGTTATCAAGATGACCATTTAAAGACATTTTCCCAATCCATTTGCACTTGACAGTTAAATGAACATCAAAGTAAACAAAGAACTTTTAGTTTTAATTTTACGTCGTAGGTTTTTTTTGGGGTGTGTAATGAGAACAATAAAAAAAAAAACAAATTGTTTCGCTTGGCCAATTCGGTTGTGTGCCAGAAAGTAAAAGTTTAAACGATTTTTAATGCAAAACTTTTAGTAGGTGCATTTTACATTTCGATTTGCCAAAAGAGATCTTTGCCAGGTATTTCCCACAAGTTGTTGTTTTGATTTTCCTTTTTTATTTTTTTACTGTTTGTTGTTTCTGGGCAATGCATTTTCATACAAAGTCAAGTTCATGTCTACAAGCTACGCTATTCCCACATGTAAATAGTTTATTTAAGGGCAAAACGAATTTTCCGTATTATGTAAGGTAAACAAACAAAGTCAAACGAACCGTCCGATGCAGTTGCTAGAGCCTTGAATGCTTAAAGTGACGCAAATTGATTTTTGTTTGTCTTATTCTAAAATATTAAACTAAAGCGGAACTGGACATTTCGTTTATAAACTATTAAACGAAAATAAACAATTGGCGCCTTGTCGAAAGGTCAAACTGCCCGGGCGAAGCTCAGATAGAGGAGTAAAAATAATTGTATTTCTCGACTGCCCTTTAATACGCATCCCATAGCCATCGAGATCTGGAAACTAGTTGTGTTTGTCTTTAGTTCGAATGTGCCATACACCCACACTTGATTTTCCATCTATGTAGGCTTTATGCTCTGCATGATTTCAGATATCCATTTTGTTTAGTTTAAAATGTTGACTATTTGTTTACGCACGGAGGCATTTTATTTATTTATCTATAGACCACATGCAGCCATCAGATTGGTTTTCAATTAGCAGGAACAGGTATTGGCTTTATAAACAACAACATCCACGCATTTTCAAATACCAGAAATACTATTGTGTAAGCCCGAATAAACAAGAAATTCTGCTAAAATCAAATTAAATGTCATTCGATTGACCTTTAACGCTACCGAATTACGAATTTTTGCACTTGTTTATATGGGGAAGATTATATTAATAAGTAATCCAACAAAATTCCGGCAAAATGTGTAATGTCAACTATTTAATGCATGTTATTTTTAAAAAGGATTACAAAAAAGTCAAGTTCACAATTTTCTGCACTCTAATGATTGTTTTTGTTTTATCTAAAGAGTTAATAGTAGCCTGTTAATATTGTTTAAACGCTATAAAAAAAAGTTTCCTATGGCAAGGATTACTTATAGCATTCTATATTGCATTGTTATCGCCTTTTTATCTCCAAAGTAAGAAAGTAACGCCTTGCAGTCAATTAGGCGCTGATGATGAAAATCTCTGATATGTAAGTTAATCGGATCTAATAATGAATATGTGTTAAGGCTCCAAGGAACATTAAGTTCAATGCTCAGTTCAATACCACAATTGACGCATTTCATTCAAATAATGAATGTATGTTGAACGACAAAACAGCACAACATTTTATGCACAAATATGAATGGGAAAAAGTATGTAGAAAATTGTACGAATATACAAAATTAAGAAATCAGACAGAATATACACCGAATAATATTGAAGCTATTTCGAATATGAATATGATGGTATATGTGTGGGTGAATCTCGGGTTTTCTTTTTATGAGCATCGCCGTCACCGCGTTCATTTGAATCCAAAACAATGAGTGGGCGCAGGCAAACGGGCGATCTGTCAGATGCCGCCCTCGAGTGCCCACAGATTTGCCGAAAGCTATAGGCGAACTTGCTGAGCTTTCTGGCCACACACACACGCATGTGTGTGTATAGATATAGATACTATATAGATCGGCTACCTACGCCGTAAAGGAATATCGTGCTTTTGTCGTGTGTGAAACAAATGGCAAATTGTGAAACGAGTAAAATTGGTGAGGCGAATTTCGAATGGTTTGCAGTTTGAAAAAATTCTTCGTTGAGGATAGATCGCTATTTTTTAGGAGTAAAGCAAATTGTAAGCCAAGCAAAAAAAAAATAATAGTATATGAACAAATAAATACATACTTATAAATAATATCAATTAAATAATTTAATCAAACATTATGGTGCAGTTATTGAACAATCGTAAAGTGTACAAACATATTTTCTATTCAAAAAGTGCTGCTGATCGCTTTCTAAACTTGGTATTTCGAAATGAAAATATGACAAAATATGATTGCCAATGGGCTGATTATATAAGCAGCCAAAGACATTTGACACCAAGTGAATATTGAATAAGTTTGATGGAAATCACCAAAGCAAATTGTGAAGTGTTTGAATTTGATACGAACTTGAGTATTGTTTGTTTAAATCTATTTCAAATAAAAAACATATTGAAAGTATATCAAACAAATCTTGACTATATAAAATACAACAAAATTCGAATCAATTCAATTTAGAATTTTGGCGTCGTCTTTTTAGCCTGACACCCGTCAGGAAAAATTCAACTCAAGGACATTTAAAAATAACGCAAATTTAGCTGCAGCTCGCGCAGATCGTCGTCACACACACTCACACACACGCACACACGCACTCGCATACACACACATACCCACTCACGGGCCAACAGCAGATAGACTTGATGTACATAGAATTTTGGCTAGTTATACATTTACATACATAGAGAGTGTGAACAATTCAGTGTGCCGCTTAATATATAAATTTTTGATATGTATATACTATACATACATGAGTATATAGTTTGTGTGCGTTTGCTGACGATATTATTTGAGTTAAAAATTTATTTTTAGTGATTGATCTTGTTGAAGATAGATATGTTGTATGTATATATATATATATATACAAATAGACAACTATTTTATACAATTTTTTGTAAACTTTGCTCTGCTGTAAAGTGGCACACAGTCTGTTTATTTTCGAACTGAGCAAATGCGCCGAGTCAGCCAAGATTTGGACATCCACATCCACGTCCATGTCGACATCTATAGCAAAACAGCTCTTGGCTGTGCTGCTGTCCCAATCTCGTGCGTGTTGACATTTGAACAATCGAATACAACTCACAAACAGCGCCAAAACGTGCTATAAAACTTAAGAGTCGTAGACTTTGGCGTTGACAGAAACAATTTCAAATTGGTGCAAAGTGCAAGTTATTTTAACATAAAAGAAAACACAAATCGTCATAATAATAAAATAGAAGAAAGGAAAATAAAAAAAAATATATTTATAATTGGGACCTTTTGGTATTGCAGCGAACGAGTTCAACGAATATTTCTTGTGCTTGAAAGACACAAAACAAATCGATCAAAATGTTCAAAAACCATTTGGAAATGATTGGGCGCAATGAGAGCCCCAGCAAGAAGGCCAAATTCTGGCAATCCTACATCAGATCCCTGAAGGGTAAGCATAAATATCATATCACAATGCCTATTACATATATTTAGTATTGGAAGAACTATATTATGAAATATAAACATAAACTATGAATATCCCATGTATTTGTATATCGAGAGAGCTATCTTATTAAATGTCTTATAGACTTGGGAGCTACATAAATAGCACAAGCAGCGTATAGAATTTTGGTCTATTTTTTGGCAGGTGTCATTTAAGTGTAATGGCCAAAAAAGCTACACACAAAGCCGTATAAATGTGAAAAGCTTTTTTCTTTTCAATTTATATATACAATATATATATATATATCTATTATGTATGTATATTGAAAATATCTTAACTATGTGCTCATGAGCCAAACAAAGCGAAAAAATGTGGCTGCTGCGCCAAGGCAAAATAACTAGGCGCTCATATAGAAAATACAAAATTCAAAATACGAAACACAAAAATGAAATCAATTTTTTGGCAATGAGCCAAATAGCTGAAATAGCACAAAACCCTATGAAGTAAAGCAATCCTAGTGTATATCAATTAGTTATAATATTGTTATTCCGCTTGCCACTCCACAGGTTCGGAGGATATTCGCGCCCATGAGACACCAAGAGTTTCTCGCCCATACAGCTCGTACCTGGATTCGCCCACATACAGGAGCATCTACGATGAGCCCGCCACGGCCAACGAGCGCGTTCAGTCATCTGGCTACAGATATTTGCCAGTGAGCCGTGACACCTACGGCTACTCGCCACGTGCCATCTACGATCATCATTACAGCAGAACAAGTAAGTTGCCCAGTTGGATCAACCATTGTACTAAGTACTACAACTTATCCTACAGCAACAGTAACCCGCACAATTCTACTGCCTAAGAGCTTTGATTGATAACTTTACTATTGTTTTTTTTTTTGCTCAATCACGCCATTAATCAGTTAGTCAGCGCATTTCAATCGTTGCATATATCAATCATGCATTTTGAATTCTGTGCAAAACAGGTTGATTTTATGGTTTAATTGGGTCATCCATCAGTTATCAGCCAGTCAGTCAGCGCACTTCAATCATTGCATATATCAGTACTTTTTTAAGCTTTACTGCAACCCTTGAATTGATAAGGAGTTGATCTGAAGGCTCAGTCATGCCATCCATCAGTCAATCAGTTAGTCAGACAGCGTACTTTGATCATTGCATCTATCAGTCGTGCATTTTTAGCTGTACATCAACACTTGAATTAAAACCGACTTAATTTTCTGGCTCAGTCACGCCATGAATCAATCAATCAGTCTGTCAATCATTGCATATGCCAATCGTGCATTCTTAATGCCAGCTCACCTTGAATTGCTAACGGGTTGCCAAATTACGATACATTTTTCTCTATGATTTCATAATTATATAAAATAATAAAAGAACTGAATAAGAAAGAACTGCAGAAAGCCAAAATAGAATTACGTCAATGATTTTCAGTATTTGTGCGCTCGGTGAATTGTTTTTGGCAAAGGCCCACAAAAGTTGAACACAAAAAATATACACATGCTCATAAGCTTTCTGCTGGTAAGCACACACATGCACATACATATATATATGTATATATATACATTTATATATACATATAGGCATATTTATGTATAATGCAGGTACATAAGACTGGGAAAACATTTTCAATTTGCTCACGCGTGCTGGGGATCAAATAACTGAGGCATACAATTTTAGATACATAATTATTTTTATATAATTTTTGTGATTGTTAATTAGCGTCCATTCCCTGCGTGTGTGCCTATAACAAAGCTCTATTTAATTTTATACCCTACACCCCTATCACACACAGTCACATAGTCAAGTGTACTTTTTTATTTTCGAAACTAACCAATTTTTTTCTTTCTTTTTTTTCTCATAAATGTTTCAGAAAATACATAAATGTTTTTCGACAAAAAATTCAAGAAACTAAAAAAAAGTATATTAAAATCAAATATATGTATGTATATATATACATATATATATATATTTACTATATATCGACGCAGCGCACTACAAAAGATTTTTTCTCTCTAGGCAAAATCAACATTTTAGTTATATATTTAGTAAATACTAAGAGAGAAATCTGTAGCATTAGCTTATATGTGTGTACCTAGCTATGTATAGCATAATATTCAGAATGATTTATAGTAATTTTTCTTATGTAGTTCTGTTGGCTGAAATTCAATAAAATATTAGTTTTCTTAACAATTTCTCGTGCTTTGGAAAACGTGTGTTCAATTGTGCATTTCACATTCATTAAATTCATCAGGTATTTTGTATCGCATTTAATCCTCATTTGATTTCATTTTATGCACTTGAACTTTCCATACCCAAGGTTTTGCTTTTTTAAATGCAATTTTTTAAAACTATTTTATTTTTAATTCTTTTCTTTTCTGCTGCTTTTTAATTGTTAAACCTGCTTTTATTGGATAAATATCGTACGTATATCCAACTGCTTTTTATTGACAAAAATGGGAATATAACGCAAACGCTGAGAGCCCCAGTTTAACAGTCTATATAATCAAATTTTATTTTGCCTTAAAATGTAAGCAAGTACATTTATTATTCAGTTACTTTAATTTCCTTGTTTTAATATCTGAATGCTTTGATTAAGGTATTGTGTATATTTTAATATTGATTAATTACACATTATCTTCGCAGTTCCAGCTAATTACGATGCAGAGAAGGCCTGGAATGATCATTTGAAGCGCATGCAAGAAATTGAGCGCAGGTGTGTGGCAATTCTTTATACTCTACTACCCTACCATATCATGGAACAATATGATATGCATAAGTTCTATAGCTGACTGATGATATTGTTTGTGCCTTTCAGATATCCATCTCGCTATGGTCTCTACTTGAGAGACAAGCCACTCACACCAAACTCTTTGGTGCCTTTGGAATACGAGCCAGAGGATAAGCTGTTGACTGAACTCAACAAGGGTAAGGATATCAAAGACATTTTCTAAATACGTCAAGAAAAAAATCAAAAAACAAACAAACACAAGAACATCAGCAGAAAGTAGCCAATACAACAACAACAACAACAACATTTAAATAAAAATCTACGAAATTTGCCATTTAATGATAAAATTTTAAGACTACTTGTAAAAATGCTAGAAAAATTACAAAATGTAAGCACGAAAAAAAAATAGCAAAGAAAACAACATCAATACGAGAACAACAGGAACTCAACAGAATTTTTTCAAATTCAGACACACAAAAAAAAAAGAAAAAAAACATCAACTCGAAACTTGACAAGCAAATTTTTTGACATAAGAAATTTGCGTTGTTCAAGTCTCCATTTGACGATTTCTATAAATGCCTGAACGAACTATATCTTTAACACTGTATATCGTATACTATATATATCTTGCAGCCAGTTTGATGTACTGAGCGTTTACATTCGAAAAAAGCTAACTGGTTGAAAACGTTTGTTTTGGCTTAGCTTTAGTAAATTGTAAAATTATGCAGAAATTGTTAAACAACAAAACCAACACAGCAAGTAACATGATAAATGATAATTTTAAATTAATTTGTCTGTAAAAAGAATCCAATACCCAAATATAGTAAATGGAAGAAAAACAACAACAACAACAACAAAAGAATTTCGTTAAATGTTTCATTGTATGATATGATGCTTTATTTAATTTTTATTTTTAACTTATTTATACAACAAACAAACAACGAAAGTAATAAAACCAAACAAAACACATATAAATTTCTAATTTTAATTTAGACATACTTCGAAAATATAAATCATATAAGCCATTTAATAACTATATATATTTCATTAAAGCATTCTAACCAGCCGTTGCATACAAACTCACCAGCTCACTATCCCATCATTAAAGCCAAGATCCGTATCCATACCCAACTACTTTAAGCCTTCAACATTTTTTTCTAACAGCTGTACCATAGACTTTTTGATAGCTGCTAAAGTGTTTTTTGAGCGCAATATACGGCCGACAGTCTGTTTGATAAATAAATGTACCGCTGTCGCACTGAGCTGGCTTTTCACAACTCTGAGAAACTCTTAGATTAATACAAACGGAATTAATAAAAACTATTAAATACAAACAACTGTGTTTTGCATATACCGATTTTTAGAAAACTAAACTGACTTTTGTCCTGTATTTTTAAATGTATATACCAAATTCATACACTCTTGTTGTTGTTTTTTTTGTAACACTGTAAAGTTTTTTTTTTTGAATTCAATTAATACTATCTGTTGTCCCACGTCCTCTTTTGTGATTGTCTATATCATTTCTTCGTCGCTCCCCCAGCTCACAACTACTAAAAAAGAACATAGATGCATACACTGTGCGGTGCCTGTAAATAAACTGCCAAATACTTAAAAAACTAAAACTTTCAAATCAAATGAAATATTTAACGAAGACTGTGTTCAATGTATTTGACATTCAGTATAATTTATTATGTACACATACAATTATGTTTAACTTCCTCTGGCAGTATTTAATCGAAATATTCTACAAAATAGATAAATACCTCCATGTAAATGTTGTGTCAAATTGTCATAACTTATTTCGTGCCCACAGTTCTGTAATTTTGTACCATGTACTATGTATTTTGTTTAGTGTGTTGTTTAGAGCTTCGTTAGAAGATCTGAACATCGTTGGGTTGTTGTGTTTATTTGGGAACTGCTGCCGGTAAGTACTTACATAATCTTAAACAATCTGAAGAAGAGAAATTCAACTAGAAGCGAAAGAAATGCATTTGATTAATATGTCTCTCTTATAGTTTATTTAAAAGATATGTTCTTTTTGAAGAGCTCACATTTCCATGGTTATTAGACTTAGTATTTCTTTTGAAATCCACACCCACTTGGTATGCCCGGCAGCAAGCCAGCAAGGCAGCAACTGGACATGTTTTCTAGGACCTTTCAATAAGAAGTGTTGTATAAACATATCGTTGAGGCAGCCTGCATCATGCAAAGGATATGAGCATTTTCCTAGCTTGCATATGTGAAAAAATTAGCACACACACATTGTATGAAATTTGTCAAAGAAAAGGCGATGAAAGCTGTGAATATAAATAAAATGGGATTTCTATTCAAGTGCGTATGTGCATGGGTCATAAGTGCCCTTGACAAGTAAGAATTTAAATTAACTTTTCATAAGGTAGAAGAGGAATTAAATGCGCAATTTTTCAAGTGACCACATCTCGTAGACAAATAATTTGCAGGCATAAAGAATTTACTTATTTAACAATTTTATTAAAAATGTTCCTGCTTTTGTTCTATCCAATGAACTTTTCACTGTGTGAGTCGGTTTCTTAGCGACCAGAAAGCCATAAAGAAAACAAGGTATTAGTTACAATCTTGAGAACGTATCTCATTAGGAGCCACAATTTAATTGATCCTATTACAGAATGTGAAGAAGTACGTTAAATTGTTACTAGGAGTTTTAAGCGCTGCCTCGTGCTATAGCTTTGAATTTGTTTTCTGTTTCAATTTGCAGCACGTCGCTCGGTGTCGCCGTTCCGTCCCAGCCGCACAACACGCGCTGGCAGTGAGCCCTATGTGCCACCACCGGTCTACTGGAATCGCGAGGGCAGCGTGCCACGCGGCGGACCATCTGTGTTCGATCGCGCCACCAGCCTGGCTCCGTTCACGCGGCCAAGCTTCCGCGCCAGCTCGCTGGAACCATTGGATGAACTCTTTGAAAGTAAGTTGCCCGCAATTGCTGAGGCGGCGGCCGCCGATGCAGCCGCCAGTAGGCCAAGCATTTTTGAGCGCGCCGGCTCACCAAGTCCCACTCCTGTCAAAGCCGGTCGCTGGGGACCACGTCCCACCGAAGTCGCCTACGATGCTGAGGGTAAAAATCAAAATTCATCCTAACCGTTTTTCTTTATACAAGAAGAGACGAAAATTTCTCGTTGTTGTTCTTTATTATGGCTTCTATTGCCCAAATGCGACACAAAATGTTAATGACAACGACAATGATGATGATGATGATGATGATGATAATAATAATCATCATGATGATGATGATGACGAACGTGTTGAAAAATTGTTGCCATATTTTTCGCGATGCGTTCGTATCTGTTTCAGTCACTTTGTGCGTGTGTCGCTAGAATTTGTCAAAATTTTCTTTTTTTTTTTTATGTATTTTGGCTGCCATACAACAACATTTTTATTATGTTCCTTGTGTTGAGTGTACTACCAACAGCATCAGCAAAAAAAAAAAAAAACAAAAAAAAACTAATGTAATGTTAGCCCAAAAGTAAGCGCCGAGCTAAAAGTCTTTAATCGTGAATTCATTTAAACGCTTTTTCCCACCTAGATTGCTTTTTGAATTGCTTCCCGTAGCGCCTGGCACCTATCCTCTCTCTCTCTGTCTCTCTCTCTATCTGTCCTATCTTCATTTATTATGATTTTTGGTCAATTTTCCACTACGAAACTTCACATACGCATGGAAAATATCAAAACATTGTTGATGTTAAAGCGTTGTCTTTTCTTGTTTTTTTTTTGTTTAATTTTTGTATTTTAGTTTAAAAGCAAAGCAAAAAATATTTTTCTTTCTGCTCTTCTTGTATACATTGCAATACAACAAAACACAACAAAAATCAACAAATCTAATTGTATACCCTACAACACGCACATTACACCACCGACAACAACAACAACAAACATTGATGATGATTTTGCTACTTGACAATAAACACATTCAAAACGCTATGTCGAACCACAAATAGGACTTCCAATCTTCCATCCACGCAACCGGTTCAGGGATATGTTGAGCCCCAGCCCCAGGCTGCCCATCTCATCGATTGTGCGCGATCCCTTCTGGTGGGATGTGGATGATTTGGTGCCCTTCCGTGCCAGCTCGGTGCCCCGCGCCTCGAGCCCCGTGGCCCGTGATTCGTATTTGTCGCCGGTGAAGAATCGTTATCTGTGGTCCAGGCACCCAGCCAGACCCCTGACACGTAAGTAGTCGCAAGATGATTATTATTTAAGTCCTGCTATTGTATATACAATTCAAAGCAACCTGTGTATATTTTATGCTATTCACTGGCAAAGCTCCCACTATTTTAAAAAGTTTCTTGGAACTCATGAAAACCATATTAAGCACTCGCGGAAAAAATGTGATTTAAAGCATGATGAGAGATGGTCTAGAGAAACATACTTAGTCAAAATATAATCGAATTAAAATCTCATGTTATTCAATTCCAAATATGAATATTTTAACATTATTATTTTTATTTTATTTACATTTATTTGCCAAACACAGCTGAGGCAGAGGATTATTTCTAAAACAAATAAAAATATAAACAAAAATCTATCAGAATCGTTAGCTCTAATAACAAGCGATGCTATATCATATAGCACTTCTGTAATTTTTTTGTACTTTAATTTACATAAATTACATGTAACGAAATGCAATACAAACAAATTGGTAAGAATATTATTTAAACAAAAAAAATTTAAAAAAAACCCTTCCACAGCATGTGAAAAATTTGTTCATGCAAGCTACATTATCCGACATGTAGTGCCGTATACTAAGTAGCATATACCGTATTACCCCTAGAAGAACATTACATACCTACATTATATATTCGTAGTACATCCATACAAGTAACTAAGTAGTTGTAGTAACCATTTGACCAAATTGAAGAACCATATAAATTGTGATTAACATTCTAAAAAAAGAAAAGGATTCGTAGAAAACTGCACGCACTCGTTTAAAAAACTTTGATACGTCTTGTAGTTTATTATCTGTTTTTGGTTCAAATCGAATGTTGGATTGTTATTAATATAAATGTTCTTATCATTTCTGACAGCTCACCGCTCAATTTTGTAAACGAACGAAAACGAACTTTAAAACAACAACAACTACAACAAGAACAACAACAACAACCAAAACAACAACCACAACGAATGCATCAATGGGGTCCCCAAAACAACGACAAGCCTTGGTTTCCACAACAAGAACTGGAAATCAACGAAAGTAGCAAAAATGAATCTGTAGTCTCAAAATCCTCAACAACGATTGAATTTTTTCAAAACTGCCAGCCCCAGAACAACGGGTGGCTGCCTCCAACTCAATATTGCCATCAAGTGCGTACTTCCCGTAGTAACAATAAAAACTATAATAATAATAATAAAATTATAATAAAAAAAAAATAACTAAAGGAAAACATTTACAACAACAACTCTCAATAAAAAGTTTTTATTTTCAATTTCTTAGCTCATGTTTTAGTAATAAGTGCAAGTATATGAAAAAAAAAAAAATCAAAAATTCGATTTACATTTATTATAATAAAAAAACCAAATCTTTTATGAGCCGCTCTTGAACAACTCGAGCGCCATAAATTGTTCCTTTTTTGTATATTTTAGACGCTATATTTGTAATTGTATTGATAACAAAAAAAAAAAAAAAACAAAGAAAACTCGGATTTCAAGTATAAACGGTTTGATTTTTTGAGTACTCAATAAAAATATAAGGATAACTGAACGTTTCACTGCATATGAGAATATATATCTGCCATATTATACATGAAAACGACAATATTGCGGCTTAGCATATTTTCAACTTGTAATAAAAACAAAACTACCAAAAAAAATTAAAACTTCTGAAAAAAACAAAATAAAAATTTCAAAAAGCCCAAAAAGTTGGAGTATTACGTTTCTGTAAGCTGAGAATTGTTGGGTCGAAAATCACAAGCAAATTGAACAAGGTAAAAAGAGGGTCAAAAAAGGGCTCCGAATGTATCTCAGGTGTCAAAACTCAATTTGCATGGATTTCGCAAATTGTTGCAAAATCTAAAATAATCTTTAATCTAGTTTAACAAATTCGTTCGGATTTATTGTTGTAGACTCTAATATCTCAGTTGTGAGCGACTGCAATAGTTCCTGTCAAATTCAACTTTCTGTCAAACAGCATAAACTTTGACATCAACTTTAACTTTAACGAATATTGTCAAGTTGTTGCGTTCTTTTGCAGTGCTGGCCCGATAATAGTCGCAAATTGACTCCATTTTCAATTGGGACTAGGGGATCAATTTCGTTGCCGCTCTTATGCCCTGAATGAACATCAGCAAATATGAATGAAATAGTTTTGTACACGCAGCGTGTTGGCTTCTGACCTTAATTAATTTAAAAACATCTAGAGCTTAGTCAACTAATGGACAGAGCTGTAAACATCGAATGTCATAGAACTGTATATGGTTCCATTTCTTTTCTAGCGATGTCATTTATCTTTTCATTTTTTTGTTTTTTTTTTTTTGTATTTTTCTAACAATTTTCCTTTTTTTGACTTTGACTTTGACGTTTTTGGCGTTTAGCACGCAATTGTTTCGCACTTTTTGCCGCCTGCTGTTTGTCTGTTTGCTCTGAGTCTGCAGCGAGTCCTTCAAGTCCTTTGGATATATGCACACGCTCTATTGTTTTGGAGCGCCCTACTTTCATTTTCTTTATTGGTTCTGGTCATTTGCTACTTTTGTTTTTTTTTTTTTTTTTGCCCAATTCGAATTTTTCTTCTATTTAATTATTGATTCACACCAGCTCTATTGGCAAAGGTCATTCAATGTCAATTATATTTGCTGCTGGGGGGCCTGCTCTTTGGAGATTTCACGTTCCTGGCATTTTGCAGAGCATTTCAATTGCGTTTTAGCTGCTATTTTGATGCGTGTCCCTCGATGATTTGCCAAGCGGTATTTTCTGCTGATCCTTTTGTGCTCACCCACACCGTATGCCAAGTCATGTGGGGACCCCCTTTGCCAATGCATGCCCCAAGCATTTAATTAAAAATTTAATCTCGATGTCAAATTGCTTGCTCCACGAAAAGTTGCAAAAGGAAAGCCTGTAGCACGTATTTCCTGGGCGGTCATGCAAAAAAAATATATATTTTGCGGCTGCTTTATTTGTTCAGGTGTAATAATTGTGTATAAAGAACACCAAACATGGTTTTATGCTTACCACATTGTATTGGGAAGACTCCGCAAGCTGACGCATTCTTTTCCCTAATTGCCATTTTATTTATTGAAAGTACCTCTAATTGAGTGAGTAACTTATAAAATCATAATTTAATCAAAAGAATCTATATTCTTAATACTTAAGTAATCATCATTTTGATAGAGGACTTTAGCTTTTTGTTGTACTGTTGGGAATCGATATATTTCCCATATATACTTAAAAGTCACAGAAATTGATTTCTGGGAAACAATTTTTCAAACTGTTCGCCATCCAACTTATATATACATTTTCTTAAAAATTCTTAGTAAATGTTACTACTTTTATTTCGATTATTTACTCTGACTTCGAGGTCTTTACATTATCGTGGAAAGTTCAAGTTGCAGTTTAGGCTCATATTTTGCCAACAAATTAATCCAAAGAAGTTTTGGCTTAAAATCTTAAAATAGTTTTGCTAGAATATTCTGAAACTCTACTTGCAAATATTAAAAACGTTTATAATCAGGGATAAGTTTGTAAGAGTATTAAAAAGCGCCTGTGGCAATGATTTCTTCGTCTTTGCGGTTTTTGTGTGTACTTTTTGTTTTGTGCCTGTTGCTGACGGCATTCGGGACAGCTTAAGATTTATATTTTGGCCAGAAACTTTTGACCATAGGAACTTTGGCCATCAAATGCACGTGCTGGAGAATCGTCCAAAACTGACTAATTATGATGGGCGTATGGGCGTGCCGGTTGCTTGACATGTCTGTCACATATGCCAGACCAAAAATGTTGCGTACTTTTAGGAGCGCGTTTCCGCTCAAAGGGTTTAATTGCTTGATATTGTTAAATTGGAAACAATACAAAATAAAATGCAGTCAGCCAGTGAATTTCGCATGGGTCACTGAGTTTCGTTTCACTTGGTGAATTAAATATTATTAGAGTGCCACAAAGCGCACGAACTTGAAACGAAATCATCATCGTACCCAATCTGAATATTCACAAAATGATTGATGCATGTCAAAGGGCAAAAGCCGAAATGTCTGGCAAACGAACCCTGTCTAAAGACCCTCAATTAAAAGACCTCAATCGAAACAAAGACACAATAGCTGCTTCGAGGATATTTCAATTGACGAGCGTTTTGTTAGTTGGGGCAGATACACTTGAACTGTCTGCAATAGAAATTCTATTCTATTTATTTGAACGATGATTCAGCTTTAAATTTGGCACTGGGCTGACATTGTAAACATTTCATTTATGCGGGGCGGGTTAAGTGTTTCATTGAAGGTTAAATTAAAGTTAATGATACAACGGCGATGCTGTTAAGCGATTTCTTGACATAATGGGTTGAGTTCCTGAGAGAAACAGCTTAGGTTTCAGTTCAGGGAATCCGTCTTCACAATGAACGTAAAATACCTAGCTGCTTGACTGTTTGCTTTTGCGTTGCGTTCTTGTAAACTTAAAAGCTGTTTCCGTGTACTGCACTGAGAAAAATACTTCGTTCAATTTCACTTATGTGTGCAATATATCATCATAGGTTATTCCATCTTCCCGTTAAAACAATCGAAAGGAGACAACCTCCTTGGCTAGGGGAACTTGTCTTGTTTTTTTTGTCCGCAGGGAATATACATGTTAGATTAAAGAATGCTGCTATTACAGCAATTATTCTTGATAAGTTCAAGAGCAAAAGATTTCATTGAAAATTGCCTGAGTGTATTTTTTTCTGTGAGATCAAGAATATCTATTTTGCGCAATTTTTTTTTTTTTTTTAAAGTTACTTTTATTTTTGCTAATTTTCTGGTACTGTTTACTTTTAGCAACTGTTATCAGCGTAAGTTATTTTGCGCTAGCTTTCAAAAAAAGATTTTACACAACATTTCTCTGAGTGTATTACTTTCTGTTATACTTACTGAGCTTGCGAACACTACAGGCGAAAGTCGGTAATCTGCATTTTTAACTCAAACTTACTTTGATGCAGCTGAACTTAGTTGCTGGGGCTTATAATCTGCACAAAGTGTTTTATTTTATTAAACTGTCTGCTCTGCCTGGGCTGCTTTGTAGTTCACTTGAATCTGTCAAATTTAATTTGTATTGCAGCATTGCAACAGCTGTTGTTGGGTCTTGAAGCTCAGTTAGCCACCCGAGCACGGATTTAGCAACCTTTTGAAGTAAACAGCTAATGGCGCACAGAACTTAGGGATTTACTGGCACAACAGCAAATAGAAGCAAGGGCAAGCGACACCGCATCATCCGTAGCGCACCTGTAGCTTGCCGTAAGCTGCAAATTTCCATTAACTTAAATAAGTTACAGAAAGTTTCAAACGTGGTCTGCATTGCTTTCTTCTGGCAGCTCGGCAAGTTGTTGAAAGCTTTTCACTGCATTCTGGATGATCAGAAACGAAACAACAACTGATTTCATGCTTAATTTATAATAATACTCATAATAATTTAAATTTCGCTGGGCGGAACTAATTGAAAATGGGTTTCATGAAAATGCATGTAACAGGCAGAAGAAAGCATAAGCCATATGCAAATTGAGTTTATTATATTTTTCGATATTTCGTTCCATTTTTAGAATATTGATATATATCGATTTAGGGACATGGTCTTAAGCGTAACTGGTAGACTATGAGATCTAAATACACAGCTTATAAATATTTCACTTTTCCAATAGCTCTCACCATTGTTACCAATAAACTTATTGTTTAAGGTTGACTCTTCGCTTTGGTATACAAACTCTTTCTTGTGCCCCGAAAGTTAGCAAAAAATTGGACCATAATCATCGAAGTTCGTCAATACGGGGAAAGAGCCCGTACATAGCGTGGAGCAAAGGGCTTGAATATTTGTTTTATTTCGGCCTAGATTGATTTGCCAAAAGCTGATTAATGTGCGAGTCAGTAAAAAGAAATGTCTTGAGTGATTAACAACAGCAACTGTAGCTGGAGTTTAGGCAATCGGCCAACTTTTTTGGCCATCTATCTAACGCACAATATATAACATCTGGTCAGGATATTAACTACTGGTTAATTTATGCGCAAGTCCAAAGGCTATGCGGCTTTTGCTGTCACTGCTGCCAAATCTGCATGAAACGAAGGTCAACTTTAGTTGGCTTTTTTAAATTTCGACAGTTTTTTGAGGCCAAGCCAAAGCTGCAGAAAGGCTCACCGAACCGGAAGTGATTGCCATCTAGACGCCATAAAAAAGGCATTCAGAAACGCGCCATTTTGTTTGCCACTTTGCGGAATAGTCTGCCTTAGCTACGTGAATTATGCACGAGCTACTCACATAGCATTTGCCTGTTTTTTTCTTTCAGTAAATAGTTCTTTTTGGGCTTAAATATATTGTTATATTCAATTGTTTAACAATTCTGAAAATTAATTAACCAGTTTTTAATTAAATATTTGCTTACCATTTAAACGACAATTTGTGTAAGTGTCAGAAACACACATTGCCGTAGCAAATATTACAATTTGCTCACATCTATTTTAAT